CCGCCCCTCCAACAACAGGCTCGATTCTGCAGCCTCGTCCGACACCTTCCATCAGATCCGGCCGGCCTCTAAATCCGCCCGTTCCACCCTCTTCCCTTCCTCGATTTTTTAAACCCTCGGACTCCAGCTCCCAATGAGGCCTCGGCGGTATAACCCCGGCGGTCGGGTACAAGCTTCCGCCCAGCAGCCCGCCAAGGCTGGCCGTCCACCAATCAGAGCTCAAATCTTCCTCCTCCACTGACGGTTTTTAAACCAGCTACAGAACGACTGTGTTTGAATGTGTGTGGAATGCTAGATTCCTTGAGCGCAAACAAGTTGAAATAATGAAATGCTTGTAGTTTGTAAAGCGCGTTTGGAGGGGTCGTAACAGACTGGATAAACGCCTATACGTTCCGTTTAAGCATATTTCTGTTAAAGACATGAGGAAATTTCTTGAGTCTTCAGAACAATGAGAGATTTCTTTCAGGCTTCTGATTTCCTTTTTTGTTTACTTGTAAAGGTGACACATTAAGGGTGTTGCAGTTCTCAAACCTCGATTTTCAAACCACATATATATGTTCATACCTCGTGCTTTTTTTAATGTTCGTGTTATTTAGGTGATGGGGATAGAGATAGTATTCTGGGTTTTACTAAATCATCTTCAAGATCACCTTAAAAAAACGTAGGAACATTAACTTTATATATAATCTTAAATAGATAATGAAGACCAGTCTACACAAAGCTGACAATTGTTATGAATATACTATTAGTTAAAGGTGGGGTATGTAATTGATTTCAGAATCACTTTTTGTTATATTCCATGGAATGCTCTTAACATCCCGATAGCAATGAATATATTAAATGCTTTGACAATAAATACATAAAATATTTTATCTGTGGAAGCCGTGGCGCTGTAAAAAGCACGACCAATCATCTGAGCCGGCCCGGCTAAAATAACTGGATGGCCTACCTGCCTGTCAGCCTTCCATCTGTGCACAAACTTATCTCGTGCCCTCATTGGTCATGTGTGCGTTCGTGTGTGTAAGGGAGTCTGAAGGAAGGGGCAGATTTTTTCCGGTTGTGTATTTTCAAATTCTAGCGCACTCGAGCTGGTTTCTCCAAAATGACATAGCCCACCTTTAACCTACAAATATAATGCAGTCTCAGAGAGCTGTGCATGGTAAAATAACGAGCACTAAACAACCATTTACAAACAAAAACTAAATCCAAATCTGAGGGTAATTATTAGAAGAACAGTATTTTAGGGAAGTTTTATCTTTCTTATAGGACTTACATGAAGCCGGCCCGCTGTTTAATCTTTAGTACTGAAATGTGTGTAGATTTTTACAGTAAAAATGTTGCCTTTTCGGTCACCGCACATGTGGCGTCCCACAGGGTTCAATCCTGGGTCCCCTTCTTTTTTTCTCCATCATCATCCCTCCACTTGGACCTGTAAAAACATTTCAAATTGAGATATTTATTTATCAGCTCTAATTGGTAGCAGAGTAGATACTTAAAGCTTGATGTTGTAGTATTTTCTAAAGCTAAAGTAATCTAAAAGAATAAAATAACTTTAATTTAGGATCTTGAATCAGTGGCATTTCTTACATTAAGAAACTCAACATCGTTATAGATTTTGTTATTTATGTATCCTCCACCCTCCCTGTATATTTAGTCTCTGGTGACATTTTAGTTTCTTAATCATCACTCGAAAACGTCTGATGTTTTCCAAAGGGTTTTATGATCTTTAATCCATCGGATCTTAAAGCTTAGAATAAATAAGGAGAAACTTGGGGCTCATGTTTTAAAGAATCAGTCTGGTGTATTATTCCTTCTGTCGTCAAATATCATGTTTAGACTCAAACCAAGAATGTGTTGGTACGCCTCTAAATACTATTTTACTTTCAGTTTGTGGCTCTCAGCTACATCATACAGCTATATATCTAAATTGTCATGTTTTTGACAAACAAAGGGGAGGAAAAGGTACATTTGTAGGGAGTATTTTCAGTGGTACAAGATAAACTACGCTTTGATACACATAATACTATTTTAGTACCGTAGTTTGAGTCGAAGAAACATGAAATATAACCATTATTATAATTATCCATGGTTGGTAAATCACTTCTCGTAAAGTAATGAACTGAATGCCGCAGTGTTGTGTACATTACATTAGCATTAGCGTCTACGTGTACAGTTTGGTTTCTCTTAATAATTTCTAACCTGCTATCCATCCAATCAGCTGTCACTATTTGTTAACTTGTATTTGATTCGATGCTTTTTTAAAACACTAAAGTTTCCCCCCTTCAGTGCAGAAAAGTCTCCATCAGCCAAATTAAAAATGTTCCTCACTGTTCGCTAAGTGTTCTGTAGTTATGTTCTCAGAGTAGCTGTGGTTTTTCCGAAAGGTTGTTCATAATGTTTAAATTCTAAATGTCATCTGGGCTTCAGATGTGTTGTCTTTCTGTCCTTTCATTATTTATTCTTCTTCTTCCTGGTGCTACCAGTTTGGACTTGGTGTAAAATATCATTGTGAAAGTGCTCTTAATGCTTTTTGGACAAACACGTTAAATGTTTCAGGAGTCATCGAGTCCTTGGAGTTTCAGTAGCACTTGTGAAATATTGCTGTTAAAATAACGCTGCTGAGACATCTCATTAAAAAACAAAATTTGTACCATCTCACTGTTTCTATTTTTCACATCTGTATTCTTTTTACTTTTCTCCCTTAATTTGAAAAGCAATTATTGCAATATGTGAGATACATACAGTAAACATTTCCATTTGTGCTTGAAAGAAAGAAAGTCAAATTACACACAATCCCATAACATTGTTAACAATATAATGATTTATCCACTTAAATATATTCCAGTAAAATAGTAAAAGTGAATGAAAATTAAATAATGCTTTAGTTATACCTGGAGTAAAGTCAATACAACAAGCTGCACCTTTACCAGCTTTGATAACACTTGCATCAATAATATATAGACATATCATATATTATTCTGAAATGGACCAATCTGCCCAATGAGTAGGCTACTATAGTATGTTTTGATGCTAATACTTGTGTACTTTTACTTGAGTGACATTTTGATTGCAGGACTTTTACTTCTAACAGAGTATTCCTACACTCTGGTACTTCTACTTTTACTTAAAGATCTGAGTACTTCTTCCACCTCTGTTGAATACAGCCCGTTTACTTTATTCCTATGGCTATGGTAATCACTCAGTAGTAAATAGAGCAGGTTGTTGACGTTGAGTCACTTCCTGGAGTTATAATTTCCTGTTCCGCTGCCGCTGCGTATGGACCGCAGATAATCGATTACGATCGGACATATTGATCTGCAGTGACTCACAGACTGCAGTGTGTGATGTTTTCAAGGGACTTCACTGATATTTCAGAAACTGAGGTAAGAAAATGCACCAAACTTGACATACTGTATGACATTATGTCTGAGGAAAGTGAAAGTAAAGCAGCTCCGATATCACAAGGACTTTACAACTAACCACAGGGTCAACGTCTAAACTGTTTAAAACGCACATGCAGTTAGTTAATCATTAAAGTGCAATCAATCAATTATTCATGTCAGTTTAAAGTTTCATTTTGAGGTTTTAATTGTTTAGAGGGGTCGCTGCGGGGATTCCCCTGCAGACTGATCTCATTCAAACACAAAAAACACACACACACAAGTTACGTGCTTTACTGAATAAATTGATTTATGTCGCAGTTATAATAATAATGCAAACATATTATTACACAATAATGTCTAACTGCACGCATGATTGCACGTGCATCATGTGCACGTGTGACAGCACTGACAGGAGCCATGCTGCTGAGTAAGCTACTTTCACTTTTATAGTATAACAATTTTTTTGCTGACACAGTTGCTGGCAGTGGTGGATAGTATCAAAGTACATTAACTCAAGCACTGTATTTAAGTACAATTTGTGGTACTTGTACTTTACCTGAGTATTCTCAGCTTATGCTAAACTTTATACTTCTACTCCACTACATTTTAGAAGCCAATGGTATACTTTTTACTCCACTAGATTTATTTGACAGCTTTTGTTACTAGTTACTTGTTTAGGTTAAGATTATTAGCACATACACAATCTAAATCAATTATAAGATAGACTTTGACATATATTTGTAGTTTAAGATATCCAGCAGCAGTATACAAAGTTATATAAATTACCTCTATATTTACCAGTTGTAATACAAAAACCTCAATAACATCATCGTAACCATTAACTCAATATGTACTATTCTGAAATGGGCTATTACGCATAAGGAATACTCTTAATTGTATATAAGACAGTATAGCCTTTGTGTAGCCTTAGAGGCAAAACGCAGGGCAAACATCTGTAAGCAGTTGCTGTTACTTTGCTTAAGTTAGGGCGACAAGAGAAATTAAAATCATATAATGTGGGAAGTGGAGATCTCAAAGATGTTTAATTACTACAATCAGCCCAAATTCCTCCATGTGTCCCATCTCAGAAACAACAGATGGATTAAATGTATAATTTAAAAACACTCAAATAAGAATTATCATTATGTTTTCATCACCTGTTGTGATTGTGCCTCCTGCAGACTCATGGCACTTTAATGCATCAATAATTATAATCAGAACATATCCTGAAATGGACCAATCTGCATAATGACTACTTTCCTTTTGGTACTTTAATGTTGATGCTTATAATTTTGTACTTTTACTTGAGGAACATTTTGATTGCAGGACTTTTACTTGTAACAAAGTATTCCTACACTCTGGTACTTCAACTTTTACTCAAGTATAAGATCTGTTGAATACAGCCCTGTAACTGTATTCCTATGATATTCACATGGTAATAAGAGCAGGTTGTTCTCTGCAGACTCATGGCGACAGCAGACACAAAGCTGGGAGGATCCGAGGAGTCCAGTTTGGATTCAGTGAGGCGGTCGGAGGAGTCGAAGCTGAGCTCCTGGGAGTCGGAGCTGCCCTCCCTCCAGCACTCCCTGAAGTTTGTGCTGGAGCTGAAGGAGGAGTTTGTGTGTCCGATCTGCAGAGGAGTGGTCCTGAACCCCCAGCAGAACTCCTGCGGACACATCTTCTGCCTCCTCTGCCTCCAACGCCTGCTGTAGGAGCAAATACACAATGTTCAATCATATTAGACACAGTTTCTTACAGTGATAGCAATTTCAACTCTATTTTATGCATTAAGGTCTCAAATTGAAATCAAATGTTGCTCGTAAATCCTTAGAGGTAAAAATTACCATGTCAAAAAGAAAATGCCCAACTTCAGTCTTGGTCATAATTGCTTTTTCTAATTTTCAGAGTTCAGAAAATCCAGAATATTTTTTAAATGCCAGTTTTTTTTCCACATAATGCCAAAATGGAAAATCCCCATAAATAACATGAAAAACCTAAAGATTTTTCTTTACATTCTATCAAATTCAACTAAATTAATTTAACACATAACACTGCAAAAATGACCTTACAGGAAACCAGGGAAATAGCATGTAATTACCCCATATCAGAAAAGGTCTGAATCGGGTGAAAAATACTAAAATACACGATTTTGAAGCGAGGGCCGATTGAAAGCCTGACATAATTAAAGCTGTTATTGGGGTGGGACATTTTGACTTTAAGGATCCGATAGTCTGTATTTTGGTGATAACGTTTTTACAGACTTATTGTAGCAGCAGAACTCTCAAAATTCAAACCAAAGATCACACTCTTGTCAAAATGTATGCCATATAACACAGCCAAAATAATGAATGAAGTAAAAACTTATTTGTCCGAACATCAATGTGCTTTGTGTTTCAGAGAGAGTTCATCTCCGTCCAGCCCAGTTTGTCCCGTGGACGCAGCTGTGATCACACCATCTGAGGTCAGACCCATTCACTCAGCTCACCACAAGTACTTTAGTCAAAAGAAGTGAACAACATTTAAACATCGTCAGGTTTTAAGTTGAATGTTTAATGTATTTCCACATCCAGAACTAACAGACTCAGTTTACGGTTTTACTTTCTCTCTGTTAAATAACAAACACATTTCCTCCCTGCAGGTTTTCCAGGATAACTGCTGCAAAAGAGAAATCGCCTGTTTAGACGTGTACTGCACCAACTCCCCAGAATGCACCTCTGTCGTCACATTACGCCACCTGCAGGTAAACAAACAAATAATCAACAGTGCAGTCTGAAACCTGATGTGTATGGATCATTATGTGTGGATATGTACGGAGCAAAGACTGTGGGAAGTGGACGTAGTCACTGTGATGTCAGTTTGTTGACAGCGGTTTTGAAGCCATACGTTTAGCATTTTTAGAACTAATAGTGACACAAACTGGATGCTGAATAAGGCATGTTTAGGTGACTACACTTTTACACAAGAACTGAAAACACTGTTAGAGTGTTTTAGTTAAAGACGTAAGCATAGAGAATCCCAAACCCAACATCAAGGTACTGTAGTGAGTACTAGCGACCTTAAATAACAAGTACCCTCACCCTTAAATATACATCGATTTTATTGTCTATTTTACTCTAAATTGGACCAAAATGTACAAAACAAACAACATGCGGAATTAAAGAAGACTTGAAACTAGCGATTGAGATCATACAATTGTCAGGAAAATGTTCACTGAGGTGATATACATGTATAAAGTGAGAAGTAGGATTATTTTCTCATAGACTTCTAGGCAATTGGATTTATTCTTTGCAACCAGTGGAGTCTCCCCCTTCTGGCCAAATGAAAGACTGCAGGTTTAAGACACTTCAGTTTATCTGTTTATAGTGTCGTGGACAGTCCCCATTGATCAACTGTCACAAAAAAACTGTAAATGGAGCAGCTTTAGCCAACATGACTAATTTCCAGCTGTTGTCCCCGGCGATAGTGGACACCTTTTTAAAATCACATCAACAGCATTAGTTATAAAGAAAGGATGAAAGACAAGTAGATACAGGCGAAAGGATTAAACTTCTGCATTGGCTTCACTTTTGAGACCCAGACGCTCACTCTTTATCAGCACACATGAATCCCACCTCTGGTCGCGTGGAGCTCTTTGAAGGTGTGTTTTATCTCCCATGTCTTCCTCCCCTGCAGGAGCACCTGAGGTCGTGTCAGTTTGAGACGCTGCCATGCTGCAACCCAGGCTGCAGGGCGGCGCTGCAGAGGAGAGAGCTGCAGGAGCACCTGAGCCTCACCTGTGCTCACCGCCTGGAGCCCTGCACACACTGCCAGCAGCCGCAGAGACTCAGCCTCCTCCAGGTACAGTCCAGCCCTCACAGAGTGTAATACACTATGCAGAGAGTCACAACTGGACCTAATGCACATGATGATTCACTCACGGCTTTGTGCAGCTTCCAGACTGCTTGTTCAGTGCAAGAAAACAAGTTTAGGAAGATTTCCTAAACTTGAGGATTTGATTCGAAAATAATGTTTAAAAGTTTGAAATAGATTCTTACACTGGGATCCATTACTTTATCTCAGGATAAGATTTCTATCATTTAACCTGAATGTAATTCTGAAGAGATCTTTTAGGTTGTAGATCCAACAGCGCTAATTGAAGTAAAAGCTGAAGTCCTGGTGATGCTGATGTGTTTGTGACGATGAATCTGTTCTGCAGGATCACGTGCAGAGCTCCTGTCCTCAGGTGGAGGTGGACTGTCCCTACAGCTGCTCCCTGAAGGTTCCCAGACACATGGTGAGGTTATCTACAGCATCTGTAGACAGGGTGCAAAGTATACCACAGAGGGGGTGCAAACCTCTGACCCATGTATCAATCCAGGGCAAAGTCTACAGAATGATGATATCCTATAGTTTATTGTGATACATGTCTCACAGATGCTGGAGTTCAGGTTGACAATATTGAATTTAAGTGCGTAAAGTTTTTGAATTTGCACCACAGGGCTCTCATGCATGCTGGTATCTTGAGTAAATAAGTCATAAAATCATCCTCATGCATACAAAATACATCAATATAGCTTAATTGTACACTCAATTTAGAATGAGGAAGATACAAAACTATAGAAATACTTGCCGAATAAAGCTCATCCATAAACATTTTAGATAACCTCTCAAATACAATACTTTACTTGTATCAAGTCACCCGCTTTGGCATGCACAAGCCGAACAACACACTGATGGGATCAGTTAATGATTCATATATATAATAATAATAATAATAATAATAATATATGGGATTTTTTATAGCGCTTTTCCTAATGCTCAAATACGCTTTACATACAATCAGAATAGAAACAAAATAAAGAAAACTAAAAATAAGTTAGAATATAGAAGTTAGGAGGACTCCACTAACCAAAAAAATATTTTTAATCACCTGACTCTCTCTCTGGTCCTCCAGCTGACGGAGCACAGAGACTCGTGTCCTGAGCTCCACGTCGAATGCTCCTATCAGAGGCTGGGCTGCTCGGTGCAGGTGAGTTTAAGAGTTTGAGGTGAAGCAGTGCAGCTCCACAGTGAAGCTCCACACTGCAGCTCCACAGTGAAGCTCCACACTGCAGCTCCACACTGCAGCTCCACAGTGAAGCTCCACAGTGAAGCTCCACAGTGAAGCTCCACACTGCAGCTCCACACTGCAGCTCCACAGTGAAGCTCCACAGTGAAGCTCCACATTGCAGCTCCACAGTGAAGCTCCACATTGCAGCTCCACACTGCAGCTCCACAGTGAAGCTCCACAGTGAAGCTCCACACTGCAGCTCCACAGTGCAGCTCCACAGTGAAGCTCCACAGTGAAGCTCCACACTGCAGCTCCACAGTGAAGCTCCACACTGCAGCTCCACAGTGCAGCTCCACAGTGAAGCTCCACACTGCAGCTCTGACTCTCTGACCACAGCTGTGTTTCCTGCAGGGTAAGAGAGGCAGAGTGAAGCTGCACGAAGACTCTGCCGTCAGCCATCACATGCTGCTCGTCCTGAGGAGCAACACACACCTGGAGCAACAGGTGAGACAAACAAACACACCTCAAACAGCTGCAGATTAATATGTTACATTTTAAATTATATTACAAGATGTTTTTGTCCATGTTTCAACATCACTGGAAAATGAATGTGCTTTTTAAAAGAAATACCCAGAATATTGGATTTGTTGAGGATAATTTATACAGGATTTAACACAAGGACTATCAAAATCTGTTTTACACTCATTACTGATTTTGTCTTTTACTAATTTTATTAGCTAAATAAAGTGTTAAGTTTAAAAAAAAAATGCTTAGTTTTCTCATTACAATGAGGACATTTCTGGTTTAAAAAATTCAAATGTATGTTGTAACTTCATAAACAATATTAAGTTTGGCCAATAAATGCTTTTGGTAAAACAACAGTACATCCCTTTATCTAGTTATATTGTGATGAATTATTTTCTTTCTTTTCTTCACAAAATGTGTGTGAGATTCAGTCGGTGCCTAAATAGAGAGGACACTGAAGCCAACAAAATCCAGATAATGTGTTTTATATGGTATTAAGTTTTATTTAAACCTCCTGTTGTCTTCGGGTCAAATCTGACCGATTTACGACTTTCAGCAATCATAACTTTTTAGTTTTACATTGGATTGCATTAAGGCTTTATGATATCCTTCACAGTAGACATTTGAACATGTAAAATTGCTGATCACCACTTCCATTGCATTTTGGATGATTTAGTTTTTTGTTTTTTTTCCCGCTCTCATGTGCCCATCCCCCCACATGGATCACACCTGGCACACGCAATACATGTTCAGTGTCTATTCTTTGTATATTTACTGCAGTTGTTCATGTATCCCAGTAGTCTGATACAATATTTACAGTTTGAAAGGCTGTTAAATGAAATTTGGTGATGATTAATGGTTTTTGTGTTAATGTAATAGCAGTTAAAACAGGACCGGTCAAATTTGACCGCGAAGACCAAAGTAAGGGGGGGGGGTAAACGAAGACAATAGGAGGGTTAATGCTCACGATGAGGGTTAATGCTCACGATGAGATTTTGGCAAATGTATCATCCATCCAATCCTTAATAACACTTGCTTATTTTATAAATCTGAACTTAAAACATATGAAGCAAACACATCGCAGTCTAAAGCCTTTGCTCAGCACAGATTGCATTTTTGCAAACATGTGTTGATATTTCTGACTCAGTGTTCATCTCTGCTGTCTCTGGTCAGGTGGAGGTTCTCCAGGAGACGGCGCTGCTGAGGCAGAACGAGCTGCAGACGGACAGCTTGCTGCTCGCTGGCCTGCAGAAGCAAATCAGACCGCTGCTGCAACACAACAGCAGCCAGGAACACATCGTCTCTGCAGCGCAGGTCCATACACAGATACACTCTTACTGATCATTATTTAGCTACACCATGATTTCATCTGTGAGTCTGTGAAATACTGATAAAGAGAAACAAAGCAACTGAACATTGATCCAACTCAGAGAAACAGAACATCTTTTTTAAACCATGAAGTCTCGGAGGGTGAATGTTTAACAAACATGTCCACACACAAATCACATCAAATATAAGTTGGCTGTCAGTGAAACAAAAACCCTTGAATCTTTCATTATGACCTCTCAAATCCACAACATCAAAAAACTGTTTATTCTACACATCCTGGAGTCTTTACAAATCATGTCAAAGAAAAACAAGACTTACGTTGGAAATAAAAGATTAGACCCTTCCAAGGCTTTGACAGATTATTTTAGTCAGAACGATGAATAAATCCTTTCACACATGATAGGTCACAGTCGTCCCTTTTGTTCAAATGACTGCTGCAGTTCAATCATTACCTCTTGTGAAATCCAGGTAAAGGCCTCTGTTGAAGCTGCCTGTGTATGATTGAAAGTGAGACAGTAGAAAGAGTTAGTCTGGATCCTGCATCACTTTGATCATGCTACCTGTCTGTCTGTCTTCAGAGGACGCTGAGCAGGCAGGAGGACGTCCTCTCCACGCTGCAGCTGGACGTGCAGCAGATATCTCGGGGTCTAGGTTCTGGTCTGCAGGAGCTGGAGGACCTCAGGAAGTCTCTGGATGCTGTGATTCAGGAAGTGTCTGCAGCCGAGGCCCTCAGAGAACACCTGGGTAACAAAACAAAAACACTTTTGTCATTTTTGAAGCGTGTTTTCAAATCGGGTAAAAGTAAAAAAGCTAATGTTCATCTAGATACGAACTATACCAAAGTCAAATAACTACTAGAAATGGTGGTCGAAACATCTAAAGGCGGACTCGTTTTCACCCTGATGAAGTTTAACAGTTCCATTAAGCCAATTGTTGCTATGTTTAAAACACATAAAAGCTTCAAAATTCACAAGTGAGGTATAAACTTAACATATTTTATGTGAAGGAACAAAACATTAAAGTCTCCTAAGTTATTGTTACTCAAAAACCCATCGACTTCAAGACAACGGAACCAGAAGTGCTAAACTGCAGTACAGTACAGTATAAGTTACTCACAGTATATTTTTAAAGGGGCAGATATTATTTCCCTATACCCCAAACATGAGATGTTTCCTGTTGCAAGAAGATGTAGTTCACTGTCCGAGGTTTAAGACCTTGTAGTTCACTAAAAACTGCTTTCCTTTCCTTCTTCCAGGGACGTTGGAGGAGAAGATGAAGCGTCACTCGGGCCTCCTGGATATCCACGCCACTCAGCTCAGAACCCACAGCGAGCACCTGCAGGAGCTCGAAGCCACTTCAAACGACGGAAAACTCATCTGGAAGATCGAGGACTTCAGGAACAAGAGGGAATCCGAGGTCAAAGGTCATCCGCCCTGCCTGAGCAGCGTGCCGTTCCACACCGGACCGTGCGGATACAAAATGGCCTCCAAGGTCTATCTGAACGGGGACGGGGAGGGAAGAGGGACTCACCTTTCTCTTTATGTGGTCCTGATGGTGGGAGACTTTGACGCTCTGCTGCCGTGGCCTTTCAGACAAACCGTGGCTCTGTCGGTTTTGGATCAAAGCGGTGCCGGAAACCATCAAAGTCTGAGCTTCAAACCCGATCTGACGTCCAAAAGCTTCCAGCGACCGACAGACGAGAAGGCCGGTAACGTCGCTGTTGGATTCTCCTGCTTCATTCCGCTCATCAAGCTGGAAGAGCCTCAAAATGCTACGTATGTCAAAGAGGACACGATGTTTGTTAAAGTGAAGGTGGACATGGTGGGTTTAGAGCAGCTGTAGTCGTTCGGCGCTAGTTACCGTGTGAACGATTAGTTTTTATAATTTACTGTTGCGCCCTCTGGTGGTCATAACTAATGCAATTTTCACTGATTGTTTTATTTTTCTACAGAAAAGTGTTATTTAAAGTATTAGTTTGACATTTCAGGAAATGTTATCTTTCTTTCTGACGGATTGATACACCTCTTTTTGCCAACAATTGTAAACTATTCCTCTAAGCTTTAGGATCATTTCAGGGATCGTCTAGAGGTCCAGCACCCACACAAACTGTGGTAACTCATCATTTATTTAATGTCCGTTATCTTCAAATCATGAATTTGTTGTCTGTGAAAAACTATTGCTCAGACGAGGTTATTTAAATCCATCTTCCACATGATCAGGACATCTGCAGATATTTGGTATCGGTCAGGACTTAAAAGTGTCTTTGTTCTGAGAACCAGGAGAATATTCAACACAGACATTTATCATCAGTACTGTGTATTATCTCAAACGAATAGTTAAGAAATTCTCTTTTGGGAACATTTGTCATATAAAGAAAGTGAGATGAGATGTTAGTGTGGCAGCTAATGTATTATTCAAGAAGACTGATTGATTTTTGTTGTTGTTGTATGCAATAGAACTGGTTGATTAAACTGAACACGGTCAAAGAGTAAACTTGCCTGAACTTATTTGAATATTTTTTAACAGTGTATGAAATGACGATGTGTTGTGATTCACGACTTTTGAGCATTTCCCCTTTGAATAGAATATAATACTCATCACTATGTTTTCAATAGTTCATAATGACTTAAAATGGTTTCCTTTGAATGAGTGCAGTGGAGATAAAGGTATATGATCGGTCTGGTGTTTAGTGTTCATTAACTTTTTATATTTGCAGGGATACAGGTATCCAGACTTGCAGTACCATCTTGTTGTTAATGATCGGATATGATTATGGTTTAATCAAATTTGAACAATAATCAGCACTGATACAAATATTACAACGTTCCTTCATTCAGATAATTGTACAAAGAAAACACTGATGGCTACAGTTAGATTAATGTCCTTTTAAACTAAAACAGGATGTCGAAACAGTGTACTGTAATAACTTACATCAAGTTATTTTTGTTTAAACTTACCATCAAGATGTTTAATTAGGAAAACCGTACAGGCATGTTATATCCTGTCTATCTAGTCATCAAGTTTCATTAGCAGTTCAGGTAACAGTGAGACATTACACATTTATTCTTGTTTCAGCTCAACCATTAACACTATGAACAACAGGTAATAACCGGAATAATAACTGTATACATTGCACATCAGGATCCGCTGTACTAAGAAGTTAACTCCTGTGCATCAAACCAGATTTAATAACATGCCCAGCAAAGAACTTATCTATGGCTGCATCAACACAAAGACATACAATACAACAATTGAACAAGTTATGCAGTGGATAAACACTCAATGATACAAAGGCTTTATTGTAATATGCAAAGTAGCTAGAGTGTAGATATATGGCAATGCAAATCTTAAAGGTCACATGTCATGTTTTTCTGGTTATTACCCATAACACTGAAGTAATGGAAGTATTAACACCTGTGTTTCAGTTCATTTGGTCCACACCAAAGGAAGAACATTTGCTGTTGTTGTATTTAAGTTCTGGTCCAGTTCATATATCACCAATAAATCACTTTGTCACAGTTGGTGTGTTTAGTTTGTAACTTGTTTTCTCCTGTAAATGAGACAGCTTCAAAGCGAATTATCCTGGAGTGAAGCCAGAAAATCACGTCTTCTCTCTGAGCCATCTGACATCTACAAAGAGAAAGAATTTGGTTTAATGTCATATAAAAAAGGCTGTTAAAAATCATACCTCACAAAATGTTGGTGTGTACTTTTTGTTTCTCTCTATTTTGTCTTATGTGGTGAACCTCTCAGCTCCATCTTAGGTCCCATACTATTTTCCATATTACATGCTTCTACTGGGGTTTACTTGAAATCAGTTTGTATTAATTCAATACTGGCAACATGCAGCAATACTTGCAAAGTTCCTCCAGTCTCTGTGAAGTTCTTTTGAGGACTCTGGAAATCAGGGTGGCTTGGTTGATTATTGATCAACCAAGCCAAGCTTGCTTATATGTTGTCTATATGCTTGCAGAAGGTTTGCTGTTTTATAGATAGTATTTTCCACTCATGGCCGAGGAGCCTACGGGGAATGGGCTTGTTGCTGGTCCCAGGCCTACATATACGTAAGTAGTCTCACTAAATAATAATAATATTTTTGATGTGAGGTGCAAAGGAGAGGGTGCTTTCCAGTATGACATTGTGGATCTTTACTTGACTGGAGAACGGTACGGAGAAGCTATCGATGATTATGTTGGGAGAAGGGTAGGATTGAACTTTGTTGAGGGTGGTTTTGGAGCCGATAAGCAGGGCTCCTGTTTTGCCTCCATTGAGCTTCAGAAAGTTCCTGCTCCTCCAGCTCCTGATGTCCTGGAGGCAGGTGGTGAGAAAGGTGGGGGGCAGGTCAGTGTTGGGTTTGGTGGTGATGTATATCTGTGTGTTATCTGCATAGCAGTGGAAGAGGACCTTATAGTGACGGAGGAAAGTGTGAAGGGGAAGGGGGTAGACGATGAAGAGGAGTGGACCCAGTACTGACCCCTGGGGGACACCATGTGAGACAGTGGACTAGCTGGACCAGTGGGTGTTGAGTTGAACATATTGTTGTCTGTCAGTGGGATATCAAGAAAACCATGTGAGTGCAACCCCATTGATGCCAATGTCAGCCAGGCGTTTGATGAGTAGTGCATGGGAGATGGTGTCAAAGGCACTTGTGAGGTCGAGGAGGATAAGGATGGTGAGCAGTCTAGAGTGAGCTGCAGGGAGGAGGTTGTTGGTGATTTTGACCAGGGCTGCTTTGGTGCTGTGTTTTGGGCGGAAACCAGATATTGCTCTGCGCAGTCGTGTTTCGTCCACCAAAGTGCAATAAGGATTTCAACAATAACTTTTCTGACTTTCTATCCGGGATCATGGTGAAATATGATCGTGTTTTGATTTGCGGAAACTTCAATGTGTGTTGCGAGTCCAAACCTCTGGTTATGGACTTTTTAAATCTCCTCGATTCTTTCGGTCTCATTCAGTCCGTGGCTGGCCCAACACACGAAAAAGGACAAACTTTGGACTTAGTATTATTGTTTGGACTTTCTGTCTCTGTGGATGAAATATGTGCAGCAACGGGTATCTCAGACCATTTACCGGTTCTGTTTACAACTTCGATCCCTTCCGCAGGAGTCGAATCACTCTGTTTCTCCAATTGTGCCATCGCCTACTCTCTTAGACCCTCCAGAAAAACGCGGGAAAAAATCCTTGATTACGCGGGCTAAATTCCTTGATTATGCGGGCTAAATTCCTTGATTATGCGATTAAACATGCGGGGTTTTTATGTGATTTTATGCGGTGAAATTGCGGGAAGTTGCGAAAAATGCGGAAAGTTGCGAAATATGCTAAATATGCGGGAAAAAAGAATAAATGTTTTTTTAAATATTGGGCTGTCTTATTTATTCTCTCTCACACACAACCTGCCACTAACGTTAAACCCCTTTACTATTCAATTAAACACATTCAATGTTTATTTATTGTAAAAGCAATTGGGCTATTTCAATCCCACACACACACACACACACGCACACGCACACGCACACGCACACGCACACGCACACGCACACACACACACACACACACACACACACACACACACACACACACACATTAATGATTTATACTAAGTCTGTGTGTTTTTTTCTATTTTCTCCTCTGAAATATATATAAATCCCTTATTTACCCTGGAAGAAATCTCACTGAAATTAAAATCTCTTTTTCAAGAGTATACAAATACAACTGTCACACACTACAAATAGGGTTGTGGCGATATACCGGTGAAGACTAACAGGTCAGTCCAAGATACATTTTACACAGCATTATTATTGTTATTAAAACAATGTTGAGATATTGGGATAATATCATTAGCATGACTTAATTTGGATAATAATAATCTTGTTGTCAATTGTGTATCCAGTTATTAGAACACGAAAAACAGCTATAATGCAGTAAAAAGGCACAATATGTTTAATCTTCCGGTAAAAAAAACCTAAGAACAATCCAAGAACCAAGACTGCTGTTTTTCTCAATCTTTTCAAATTGACTTAAATTAGAAATCAGCTCTGCTAATTTAAGGTCCTTCTGAATGAAAATACTGAAAAGCTTTTTTGCAAACTTTTTCCTTGACCCTAGGGAAAACATCTGTACAATATTGTGAGAGCACAGGCCATATTGATAAGAAGCAGCACTAAGAGAGATGTTCATATGAGGGCCAACCAATGCGAAACATATAGACATGACCATTTAACAGCAGTGTAAAGACGACAGTGGTGTGCAACATTTTCACAGCCAGTAAAAAATCATAAAGCAAAATAATAAATCAACAATATGACAACTGCATGGACACAATTATTAAACGTTCTTTGCTGACTCTACACAGACACATTTTTCACATCACCCTCTCTCCCCCCTCTCCCAGGGTAAGGAGACAGATGTAATTGGTGCTGAGGAGAAGGCGGAGTCATCTCGCTACAGCCGATCTTATACGTCCGGGGCCACTCTGGGGGCGGAGCTACGCAGGGGGAGGAGCAGAAGACTTTCCTCCAGTCTCCAGGTATTGAAAGCATGCACGCAATGTAAACATACTGCTCATGAACATGAATGTGGCTGCCTGGAATGACAGGAAAAATACAAAAATATCCCCAATACTCCATTGCATACAATTAGACACAATTGTACAGGTTTATTTGAGTTGTATTAATGGTAGTGGATGATTTGTAGTTAACAAGCTAAACCACATTTACACATTTGCAATTGATTCAATTACACCAGTAAATCTGTTTTTTTTGTCTGCACCAGTTTTCCTAGTGTGAATTGTACACATATACAAGCAACTGGTGGCGCATGTCAATTTACATACCTAATTACTCCTTTGCTAGAAGGATACAACACATCCCCCAATACAGGTTCCACTGTCTCTGCTGGATGTACAACTGTGAGCTAATATGTTTGCATCAACTAAGAAAGTGATATTTGGTCAGCGAAGGGTTAACAGCTTTTTTCTGCTGACACCTACAGTAAATGGCCCAACAAAATGCACTTCAATGAATGAAACTCCCAAGGTTTCCTGGAAAAATACCTACAGATACAAATCAAATATTCCATTGCATACATCATACATGTAAAACAAACTTGTAAAGGTTGATTTATGAGTTGTATTGAAAGCTTTTGAATGTGTTATAGTCACAAAGCTCATTGATAAACAAACTTGCATCAAATGTATCAAAACCCAACACTGAATATGGGTCTTCTCTGAACCATTTTTTAAATTATTTTTTAATTCAGCTTTTCGCATGTATACAATCATAGACAATACAATATTCTCTGTAAGCCTTCTGTAGTTTACAATTAAATCAGAAATCAAACATATTTGTGGATAATACGGAGGCAGGCCTCACTGACCTTCAAACAGGCTATAACATACAGTACGAACATAAACACCAACAGGGTTATGGGGGTGTATCGGCAACCTATTCAAACAAGGTGGGCATAGACATTCTAGACAAATGATGGTCGTATTGGTGTAACATATTATCAATTTTTCCCATCTCGACCAGTCTCAAAGCAAGGGTTATCCTTTCCATCTTAAAAATATCATAAAGAATGTCAATCCACTCATCCAAAGTAGGTTAGTTTTAAGTGGAAGAGAGTGTAAATAATGTGCTGTACCCACTGGAAAAGCAACTGGTGGCAGGTATAACATATATCCAGTCTATCTGAATACTTTATTTCTACAAACCCTTCCTTTCACTCTTCAGGTACCGTGCTGGCTCCGCCCCCGAGACCGCACCCGCTCCCCCGAGGTCCTGAGCAACGTGTCCCGTCCGACAACTCTGCCCCTCCACATCCCGCCTCGCATCTCCATCACACAGGCAGATGCTGACGGGTACACACACACACACACACACACACACACACACACACACACACACACGGATTAATTCAACTTCTTTCCCTCGTTTATATCTTTTATACATTTCGGAATAAAATTTTAGATATTATTTTATTACTTTTATTTCTTATATGGTTTTTATATAGTCGTAATATAATCTTACATTTGTCTACTCTTTGAAAACCCCAAAGTTTGTAAAAATGTGTTGATAAAATATTTATACTTTACTCTGATGTGAACACGTGTTTCCACACTGTTACTTCCAGAGAAGGCGCCACACGGACTTTCCTCTCCCCTTTGTTTAGTAATATTATAATAAATTTGATACACTCTTGTGTGTGTTGAAGTACAGAGTGAGTAAGTATAACAGAGACCTCCTCGGAGTGGAAGTGGCCGCTCCCGCAAATGCTCTCCGGCAGAACCCGGCTGTACAGCATCAGCCTCAGCTCGCCATCTCCTTCCTGAGAGCGGAGGACCGGCCCCCCTTCCCCGACACCGCGGCACTACGGGCCCTGAAGTACTTCGGGGTCGCCCCACTCTGGGCCTCTGTGCGGTAAAAGACGAAGTACGACGTCGTGCTCCTCTCTCCCGTAAACTACTAATACAATCCTACGTTCAGTCTCTACGTTTTCATGTGTGTAGGAAAATGAGGTTCATCTTCATGTCTATGAGGATAAATTTTTTATGAGACCATTTTCATCTCATAACTGACTAAAGGAATGAGTTCATGTTTCATTTCTTCATACTTTACAAACTTTTCATGAAGTCATTTTTTTCATGGGTATTGATCGGTCGACAAAATTTCTCATGGACTGGAGGGAAATATAATTTCTTTATTACAGTAACAATCGATTACTTACAAAGGTACGGACTTGTTGTGGTGTACTGTTGCAAAAGTAACCAGGGAGAAGAAATTTCTCTTCTGGTCCTTTACTACTATGTGCCTAGCACCAAGTTTAGTTATCCGTGCGTTACTGAGATTTTTATTAATTACTAGTGCGGTGGTTTGTGTGTAAGTCTGATTTCCTTGGGTCGGACAAACCATTTTCATTCTTCATCTTTCATGTCCCATAAACCAAGTTTTACATTCTTCATCTTTCAAGTCTAAACAACAGTTTACATTGTTTCATCTTTCATGTCATAAACACAAGTTGTACATTCTTTCAGTTTCATCTTTCAGCAGTCTTTTTGTTCATCACCTCATTTCATGACTATGGGTCTTTGGTACATGAATTCATGTCATTCGTTTCATAAATAAAACATGGGGTGATGAAGGGTGGAGACCTACGTTTACTATTAAATTTTTCCCGAAGGGGCGACATCCACCTTCACAAAATTTGGAGGCAGGCTACACCCCCCAGGTTTTTTTCCTGTCTCCCACAGCATAAGACATTATTTGACATTTTGGGGACCTCGTTTACATTTTGAAACCAAAACTAAAACCCGGATTATATCTTACTTGATACTAACTGAAAACTTCAGGGGGATCTCCAAACACAACACACACACACACACACACACACACACACAACNTCACAGTCACTGAGAGAAATCATGCTCAAAGACCCTTTAGGGTGCATTTGATCTGGATGTAGCTCTGTATTTACTGAGAGGATTGACTGGTGGGATGCTTCAGTAAGCATCCCACCAGTCAATCCTCTCAGTAAATACAGAGCTACATCCAGATCAAATGCACCCTAAAGGGTCTTTGAGCATGATTTCTCTCAGTGACTGTGATGTTAAATGTTTGTTTTTTGTTTTTCATGTATTGTGTCTTGATATTTGTCCATGTTGATGTTACACAAGGAGCTGCTCTGATGCAAGTCACATTTCAGACTTGATGTGACCATTAAAGTAGTGTTGTATCGTATCGTATATCGTCTGTGTTTACAGTCAAACTCTGAGCAGGGATTGATGTGTGCAGCTTGTTTTGGAGCGAGAGAGAAGGAGTCAGAGAGAAGGAGACAGAGAGAAGGAGACAGAGAGAAGGAGACAGAGAGACAGAGAGAAGGAGACAGAGAGGAGGATACAGAGAGACAGAGAGAATGAGACAGAGAGAAGGAGACAGAGAGGCAGAGAGAGAAGGAGTCAGAGAGAAGGAGACAGAGAGAAGGAGTCAGAGAGAAGGAGACAGAGAGAAGGAGACAGAGAGAAGGAGACAGAGAGAAGGAGACAGAGAGAAGGAAACAGAGAGAGAGACAGAGAGAAGGAGACAGAGAGAAGGAGTCAGAGAGAAGGAGACAGAGAGAAGGAGTCAGAGAGAAGGAGACAGAGAGAAGGAGACAGAGAGAAGGAGTCAGAGAGAAGAAGGAGTCAGAGAGAAGGAGACAGAGAGACAGAGAGAAGGAGTCAGAGAGAAGGAGTCAGAGAGAAGGAGTCAGAGAGAAGGAGACAGAGAGAAGGAGACAGAGAGAAGGAGTCAGAGAGACAGAGAGACAGAGAGAGAAGGAGGCAGAGAGAAGGAGACAGAGAGAAGGAGACAGAGAGGAGGAGTCAGAGAGAAGGAGACAGAGAGAAGGAGACAGAGAGAAGGAGTCAGAGAGAAGGAGAGAGCAGAGAGAAGGAGACAGAGAGAAGGAAACAGAGAGAAGGAGACAGAGAGAAGGAGACAGAGAGAAGGAGACAGAGAGAAGGAGTCAGAGAGAAGGAGACAGAGAGAAGGAGTCAGAGAGAAGGAGTCAGAGAGAAGGAGACAGAGAGAAGGAGACAGAGAGAAGGAGACAGAGAGAAGACAGAGAGAAGGAGTCAGAGAGAAGGAGACAGAGAGAAGGAGACAGAGAGAAGGAGACAGAGAGAAGGAGTCAGAGAGAAGGAGACAGAGAGAAGGAGACAGAGAGAAGGAGACAGAGAGAAGGAGACAGAGAGACAGAGAGAAGGAGACAGAGAGAAGGAGGCAGAGAGAAGGAGACAGAGAGAAGGAGACAGAGAGAAGGAGACAGAGAAAAGGAGTCAGAGAGAAGGAGTTAGAGAGAAGGAGACAGAGAGAAGGAGACAGAGAGAAGGAGACAGAGAAAAGGAGTCAGAGAGAAGGAGTTAGAGAGAAGGAGACAGAGAGAAGGAGACAGAGAGAAGGAGTCAGACCTTGGCGAGCTCGTCCTCGTGGTCTGTGTTGACGCCGAAGCGAGGCATGGAGGAGCTGGAGAGGCTGGAGCTGTGGCAGAGTTTCCTCACGCCGGTGATGTGACTCATGGATTTATCCTTCAGGGTGGGAGACGGGATCTCCGCCTCGTTCTGCTTGTCTGCAGAGTGACGGAAACACAAAGTCAACTTTATGGTCAATCTTTCAGTTTGTGTGTACAGACAGAGATCGAAAAATACAGTTTCCCATAATCCCAAATACAGAAATATATAAAAATATGTATGCAAATATGTATATACCTATACACAATCAAAGACACATTTATACATATGCACACATTAAGGCCTAAATAAAAGCACGACAATCTATCTATACAAAAATAACAGTATCTTTGAGAATGTACATTACTGCAAGGCTGTCCGTAGCAGCGTTTCTGGTGCTGCTTAGAACACAGTTAGAGTTTATATTTGGAAAATGTGTTACATGTGATCAGATGGAGGGCCTGCTCACCCATGAAGGTGCTGGAGATGTATTCTGACACCTGGTTGCCGGAGCGACTCATCTCTGACAGGTGGGACAGCTCTCTGTTCAGCATCCTCTTGAACTGTGGAGCAACAGGGGCAGAAATACCTTACATACCTGAGGAGGGGGATTATATTTTGCTCCAAATTTGAATAGAATACAATTTAAAAAGTAAGTATGATAATAAAAACACAAAGCAAATTAGAATTAGATTTAGAAAAACCTTATATAGGTACTGGGAACTGTATTTTGTTCAAAATGACAATAAAATAAAAATAAAACAAAAAAGTCAGCAAAGAAGAAGTAGATTTAAAAGAAAAAAAATATTATTTATTCCCTGGGGGGATATTGGGTTTCGTAACAGTTATTCCATTTTAAAATAATTTAAAAAAATTACATTTCAATGAAAATAATTAAATAAATATAATAATAAGAATTTAAGGTAAACATTTGCATATTGTACTATAATATATTAAACAATACATTTGTAAACAAATAACTAACAATATACATTTAAATGATAATGATATTAATTCTGAGAAACAGATTATTGAGTGTACAATTAATCCTAGTGATATTGGTATTGCACAGTCGGATAATATATGCAGGATATTGCACAGTTGGATAATTGCTCAGGTTATTATAATCTAAGCAAGTACATATTAAAGAGTTCAATAATTGCCTCGGTTAAAAATAGTGTGTAATTGCAGAGTTTAATGGGCTTATAGCTGCTGATGGGGGAAGTAAGTCCATTGTCTCACTGCTACTCTCACTTTCTTACCAACAGCTATATTCAATGCAGGTTTTTGGATTAGAAAGGGTTATCCCAGGGTTTAAGGTTAACATATCAATACAGCAACATCGTGCTGGTGGAAATCTTCTCGATTATTCACATCATGAAAGAAGCTTTTGAACTACGCTTGTTTATTTTATTCAAACATAGTGACAAAGAGTCGCAGGATATTTGAACAATTAAGGTTACCATTGTAAATATGTAAAAATGCACACACTGGTTTCAATTCCTAAATAAACAACATTAATTTATCTATTCTCCAACAAGTCATTATGTGTATCAGATCAGAATGAGATTCAGGTTTACACATACGTGGAGTTTGCTTGAAGGTAAGAATAAACACAAGAGAGTAAATCATGGTAAATATAAATATAAACAAAAATACAGCAGGAAAATGTTAAAGGTGGGGTAGGTAATTTTGGAGAAACCGGCTCGAGTGCGCTAGAATTTGAAAATACACAACTGGGAAAAATCTGCCACTTCCTTACAGAGCCCCTCCTCCAACACACACGAACGCACACATGACCAATGAGGGCACGAGATAAGTTTGTGCACAGATGGAACTGACAGGCAGGTACGCCATCCAGTTATTTTAGCCGGGCCGGCTAAAATGATTGGTCGTGCTTTTTACAGCGCCACGGCTTCCACAGATGACATATTTTATGTATTTATTGTCAAAGCATTTAATATATTCATTGCTATCGGGATGTTAAGAGCATTCCATGGAATATAACAAAAAGTGTTTCTGAAGTGAATTACCTACCCTACCTTTAAGTCTTCTAACCAATTATGCTCAACAAAAAAATGAAATAAAAAAACCCTCCACACAAATACTGTATGCAGACACCCGTTTGTAAAAGCAACCACTGATTAAAAACCTTAAGTGATGGAAGTGCATATAGCGGAATGAATATGGAATATGCCAACAGATGACATTCAGAGTTATTAGCACTGGTGTGCTTTTGCTTGTGCGCATACATATGGAATGCATGTTGGCGTGTTGTGTGCCAATGCCTATGAATTATATATCCATATTAAAATGCTGCCCTCCAGAAGCAAAAGCTTTAATCACCAAAAGCCAGTGCCTCCGGTGATGAATGATTGATATAAATGGGGCAAAAAAAGCTTTAACTCGGGCTTCAAAGACGGCACACTGCTGCTCGCATGAGCATCCGTCAACGCCACCACAAACACACTGCTGTCAACAGACGCACCCAAACACACACAGGGGGAAAAAGAAGAAGTCATTCCAAATGAGGGAAAGAGGCTCTCTGCAGAGAGACCATCATTACCAATGCAAAAAAAGACTGGTGCAAAAGGACAAACTGCATGTGACAAAAGAACGATAAATAGGACAGAAACTCCGGAAAGGATGGGGGGGAGTGAGTTGGCTACGTACGTGAGCACTTCAGATTTAGCCGAGGCAAGCAGGCGTGACAAGACTGTCGTTCTTCCTTTTACTTCTACACGTCCCACGAGTAAAGATGTGTGGGTGAAATGAACGGAAGATTAAAATAAAACCTATATGCCGCAGATTTGCGCCTCATTAGGATTCGCCTAACATTATGTGTAGGATTTAATTACACTTCTATAATCGGTTATTTTATCGGCAATTATTCACCGGGGTGTGAAATGTGATACCTACGGAGACGGCAGAAAAAGCCCAGGAGACACCGGGTGTCAGCTTAAAGCTCGCAGGATATTTGTACAGAGAGAGATTTGGAGTGGAGTGCACAGAGCGGCGATGCTATCACAGAGAATGGTGGCATGCGTTGGCTTTCCTCTTGGCTACACCTGTCAGTCAGGTGCTAGGCTTAGCGTCAGGCGGCCTGCTCCCTGGGAAGTGTGTTATGGTGTGTGTGCATATCTCAAGCAGCGAGCTACGTGACATGGGATAAGGGAGAAAAAAGAAGGCACGTCTGAAAGAGGACAGAGGGACTGGCAGCAGTGTGTTCAGCTGATGCTTCTCTTAATCAGGTTTAACAGTCCGTTTGCCTTTTCTTTTTCTATCAGTGGAGCCGATGATGTCACAGGGCGGAGAGGAAAAAAAAACATTGTCATCTCGGCTTGTCTAAGCCCTGTAGTTATTGTTGAAAGGTGGCTATTAAGACTGTTTGTGGTGTCAGTCGCGCTCAGTGTGGAGGTGGAGGAATGTGAATACAGGAAGGGGGAGCACAGCCAAGGGACTTAGGCTTAAGGAAAACATTTTTTTATCACAAAAAAAGAAGGTTAACAAAACTAGCAGTGGTGAGGGAAACAGTCGGTAACAGAATGTGGGATTGTGTCATGAGAGAAAATGGAAGGACAGGAGGAGAGATGGTGAAGGCAGCAGACCCTGACACGCAGGCGGAGGGCTGCCCATGCCATATGCTGCCACTCGTTGCCAATTTGCCGCAAACCTACAGGTGATAACACCATATGGGAGAGGCGGGTCGTCGCCAACTTGGTGGCCATTTTCCCCTGCCGCCAAAATGTGCTCATCGCTCCAAATGCCCTCCCTCTGTTGTTCGCTACACTGGCTCTTTGCATTTCTTTCTATCTGGGTTTTCTCAGATTCTGCTTCATCTTTTGCTGAGAAACACAGCAAAGAAAAACTCCTCCCCGTACTCTGCCTCGCTGCCTTTTTAGCTCGGAGACTTCAGAGAGAGCCGGGTAGCGTGACAGTTAGCTGCAAGCTCTCTGTCACCAGCAGAAAAATATTTTAAGAAGCTTCTTCTGCAGGATTCCCTTCCCATTATCGGCCGACTGTGCGGCAGTATCATCACACCGTGGTATAATAATACAAAGTTGTGAAAGATCAATGATGTAAAAGGCAAAAAGGATCAACATTCAACTCATTTACTCTATAGAGGCCCTTGACATTGCTCTCTTGTCAAGCTCGGTGAGCATTAGCATGCCACAGCGCTAGGGCCGCAAGTCTGGAGAAACTGCATGTAAACAGCAGGAGGGGGGGCGGGCCATGGTGAGGGGTGGAGGCAGAGCAAATGCTAATTCGCACCCAGCCACACGTGAAATGAGCTCGAGATCTAACCCCCGAGCCGACAGCATCGGCGGAGCAGCTACCCGCAGTGCGACCGCATCCGGGGGAAGAAATTAAAAGATCCCGAGACGTCGGAGGGGCCCGAGCCCTCGCCTGTCTGCTGCTCCCCTGAGGGGCGGACCGCTGCGAGGCGTCTTCTGTGTGCAGCAATGCTAGGTGAGGGATTACACACAACACACAACCCACGTCTGCATTGCCATGCAACAGAGGAATGTGAATGGATTTTGGCTCCTTTTTTGCTGGTAACCCACGGCACTGAATTTGTAAGTACCAGATGTTCAGGGACTTATCAAAGCCCTGTCGATCTCTCGCCGAGCCTATTTGGAATCTCTATCTGTCTACCTGCAAATCAACACAGACCATGTCAACAACCGTGGATGTGACCTACTTTGGGTCTGACAAAGACTTCTCAAAAGAGATAACTGGTGACAGTGTTTGGTCACCTGATCGGCACATGTCGAAAAAAATGTTCACAGCCGAAAATTCTTAACACCTGGCCGTGGCCCGTGGCCAGAGTCACACAGCTGGCCCTGCTCCCCCCCACCGAGCTCACTGACGACGTCTTTTGGACCCCGTTGTGACACAGGCTTGCACTCGGTGCAACATCTTCCCTGTACATGAAAACCCTGGCCTTTGGCACGTGTCCTAACACCTATTACACATTGCCAACCCTAAAAACGTCCATCAGCATCTGGGCCAGAGGGAAGAGCTCTCCATTTTCACTCAGTAAACATGTTTCCTGCATCCGCTGTTACCCTAAAGAGGTCTGGCAACGTAAAGCAGATTGACGCAATTCCCCAACAGGAGGGCCAAACCCCTACAGAGCGTTGATAAATCCAAAACGGAAGTCATTCCTGCTGTGTGGGGTTGCAGGTTGAACTTCAAAGCTGTTGGTTTAAAACACTCTAATATCTCTCTCTCTTATTCTAACTTGTATTCGTCTTACTAGAAGGGCTTAGACTAACTACATATTTGCTGTAAGACAATCCTAATTGAGGAGCTTGAGATAAAGCAGTATTACAAACAACATGATCCCCCTCCTTTCCTTTAATTTTATCCATGAGTCACAAATGTGTCATTTGGAGTAAAATATTTGGATTCAAACAGTGTGATTGCTCTTGCTGCAGGATCATGTGCAACAAAGTTCTGTGTAAATGTGCACACATGTTGCTCTGACTTCCTGACAGGCGGAGGAACAGCAGGGGGAAGATGATTTGTGGCCCACAGCTCTGCTCATTATCTTCCGTCCAGCTGACAGCAGTCGGCCGTCCATGATGCAAGGGGGCTTCGGGGGGGCTCACCTGTGCACTGTCCGGAGTGCTGCACCGTGATGTCCTTGTCCTGCCTGCAGGCGATGGTCCTCAGCTGGCACTGGTCGGCGTAGGTCACCCCGTCTGAGCCGCACACCTGCTCCACAGAGACAGAGAGAGGGGAGATGGGAACACATGTTACCTCCCTGCAGGCCGCTCAAACTAACTGTTGCAAATCGCTCCGTGAGACCCACCTTGGTTTTGTTTTTTTCGTTGCAGTCTGGGGAAGGACACTCGCAGTGGGCCTGATCGTTCACCTCGATGCATGTAGCTCCGTAACTGCACACTAACTCCTCACATGAGGTGGGGGGCTCTGGACCTGTGGAAGAAATAAGTTTGTGTTGTAAAACATGCCGTAGTCTCAATATCATAGAGTTTATAGCAATGGAGCATAGCTGCATTATGGATTCTGCTGTGGCAGGTGTGGAGCTACATTAAAAGACATGTTTTGCATGCATAATGAATGCAACACGTTCACATTTACATAATCTTTGCTAACAAACAAATGTTCTGCCAGTTAAAAATAGTGTATTCATACTACAGATGTTGTTTTTAAAGCTTACGTCACTTTTGACTCCTAACTCTGCAAAGTGACATAAATCGTTCAATTATTTTTAGTGTTCAATATTATTGTTTTTTGCACACACATAAGTCTGCATCAAATTCGAAGAAAAATAAGGAATTTGAAAGGAAAGGAAAGAACAAGCATTGACAGGCTTTTAGAACATCTTGTTGTATTTGCCTCTAAACTAAAAACTAACTTTGACAAAGAAAGAGAAGAAAAAGTTAACTAAGCTGAAATAATTTAGAGAAACATATATTAATAAAATTAATGACAACAAAAAGCGCAAAGAACCTGAAGAAACATGAACAACACAGTAGACAGCAGTGCAATTAAAAAAACGAATGCAGCAATAAAACACGACAGGGGGGAAATATTAGAGAAAATACAAATATGTTTTAAAATATTTTTTCAGTTATATCCAAAAAAGAAAAACCATTTTCATGGTGTTAATACTTTTAAAATAGCAGATGTCCAATTGCTGTTATAATCACCAACAAGCAGGGATCAATCTGCATTACTGACAACATTTTTACTAATTTGACATATTTGACCTCCCCCCCTCTCTTGTGGATTTAAATATGCGAGAAGGTGTTTTATTAGTCTGAACATTTGTCTCCTCTAAGTGACACAGTGACCTATTTTTTTGTCTCTTTACACCCACAGTAGTGCAGCGGTAATGTACCGGTAATCATAAAATGGTCTAGTTATTGTACCTGTATGCAAGACTGAACGATTCATGTTTTAATAGCATTTCGCCCAAACTGCCTAACTATGGTTAAAAAAAGAGTGCACTCAGTGATATTTCTATATTTTTTTTTTCCCACAGATCTCTCCTGAAGCTCTCCAAAGGAAGCGTTTGAAGCCTTGAAGCCGCCGCAGCAGGGTCTACAGCCGGGGAGCCCAGCATCTACCTGCCGGGTTGGCGAGTGTGGGGTCTTTGCATTGTTGCTACATCACACAGGCTTAGAGCACCCCCCATCCCTTAGCACCGGCTTTCATGTGCTACTTCATCTTTTCATCTGGCGGGGCGTGTGGCGGAGTTCCCCACCACTGTGCCGACTGCTGGCTTCATTAAGCGTTTGACTTCCGGTCGATATCTGATGGTGCATCTTAATCAAGCAGCTGCAGACCCCCGCAGCAGGAACTAATATTTTCCTGCAACTAGCTTTTTATTAGCTTGTGCAATCACCGGGGCTGTTTTTATTATTAATCGAAGTGAATAACAGTCAGAGCGTACACATTGCAAATCGTCCAAAATGGAGTGTGTGGAGAAAATATCAATGGGTGCATGTCATTTGTACACTCCACTATTTTCCAAATCACTATCGATTTACTGCCCTGCAGCCGCTTCCTGCCTGTGCCAGTAAAACAGATGGATGTGAAAATCACAGAGAGAGAAAACTGGCTGCTACGAGATCAGACGAGCACTTTGAAATGATGTAGGGAGGTTATGACGGAAGAGAAAAACCGCCACAGGTTGGTACTCTACCTTTGTCGCAGCCGTTGGTGCTTCCATCTCGACACAGGTTGCACTTCATGCCCTTCACTCCCGTCTTGCAGGAACAGAGGCCCGACATCTGCTCACAGTCGTCCCGAACCGAGCCCGCGGCGTCGCAGTTACACGCTGCCATGGAGGTGTAAGAGGGAGAGAAAGAGTGATGAGAAAACAATTAGGTACAATCACAGGAAGAGGTTTGGTTTAGTTTGAGGCAACACTTCTCTGAACGTCTCGGAGACAAGGGTTGAGAACAGTTCACACAGCCCGAGGGGCCGCAGGAGGAGTGTGTAACAGAAACTCAAGAAAACAACCCCAGGGAAGGACATCATGTTCCTGGAATCAATGATGTGTGTTTTTTTTTCCCTCCCCTCCCGCTGAAGCTGGTATTGGTGTGCGGTGTGCTGTCTGCTTACTGTGGGTAAACCTTGTTAAGGTCAGGCCACGGGTGAGACATCCCGCTGTTGACTGAAAATGCTATGTGGCGTTGGGAGAGCATGTCCTATGTTCCCCCCAGCGGCAGGACACGAGCTGGTCACCATATTGCATTACAGCAGACAAACAAGGGGTCCTGACCCCACACCTCACTCGAATACAAATGAAAACTGTTCATTCGATACAGCCTTGACATGACTAAAGAACACAGTAGGTTTGTCTCTTTTATAAAAACCTACCAGCTGTATATTAGCCATGTTATAAACTTTTAACAGTCAACAGGGTATGCAAGGATGTTTATCCAAAAAGTTCATATTCATTGGTGTTACCATCGATTCCAAGAGATATTTATGGGGTTGAGATATAAATCTTCTCTCTGACCGACAGTGGCATCGAGTCATGCAGATTTGGTTCTATTTGAAAAGGTTTTGTGATATCTTCCTCAAAAGGTATATGGCTCCATCCCAATCAAATAAGGTGAGTGAAATGTTCCATAATTCAACGATAACTTATTTTCTCCTGTTTCTGAGTAACAGGAAGTGATATTTTGTTGTTGTTATTATAAAAGTAGTTAATTGACATGAAATAAACAAGGATGTCTGTTTGATAAAACTGGTACATTTATATGTAACAGTTGTACAATTAAGAGTAAAGTCATAAATCTGCGAAACATGAGCAGCTGTAGTCCACTCACCCTTTATGAAAACAAAGTGTAAATGTACCATACGCATTCTTTGAGAAGAAACACAAAGCAGCAACCAGCACTGCCACATTTCACAGCTCCTACTGTTTTAGTCACATGTAACGGTGCAGTAAAAGCACATTCGGTAAATCGGCAGGGAAACAAAGAGGCGATTCCTTACGCGTGCATCCGCCGATGTTCTCCGTCACGATGCCGCGGAAGTTCCAGAAGCCCGGTTTGCAGCGGTCACACTTCTGTCCGCCCACGCCTGGCTTACAGGAGCACTGTTCGCTGGCGGGATCACACGTCCCCTTGTAGGAGCCGTAGACGTTACACTGACACGTACCTGAGGAGAGCACATCAACACATCACTGCTTTATGCTTCTCTAACTGTGAAACAACCCGTTATCCTGTGACTTACAACAGCTGGATACTGCTTGCTATGCTGGATATTAAACATTTATGCTAGTCTAGAAATGTTGGGTAAGCCCTGTTCGGCAAATAAAAAGGTGGATAAAGTGTGCTTAGTTGAGTTCCCCATCTCTAAGTCTCCGTATATCCATATTTCCCAGTCTGCATTTTCTCCATCCATATCCCGAGCTAAGCACTTGATGCAGCGTTTTCTCCCCCCATCTGTGTGCTATCATTCGTCATCAGATGAAGAGATTTCTTTCTGTTGATATGGCGCAACATTATCATAATTATTCGTCGGATTAAGATGAAACGTTTTCGGCTCTGCAACTTTGGTAATTGCAGTCAAGGACAATAAGTCCCATATGCTGAAAAAGCCTGATAGTATCTCAAACTTTCTGCATACAAACACAGGGGTCAATGGGGACGTAGGTGGGTGACTTACTCGGACATCCAGCCAGTCCGACTCCTAGAGCAGCAGTCATGTTGTCGTGGCAGCAGCCGTACACAGACTCGCTGCAGTGCTGGGGCTCCGACAGCTCCAGTAGAGATGTGGCTGAAATCGCTGATGAGGGAGGAAGAAAAAGGGAGGGGTGGGATGGGGGATGGCACAAGGAGAGAAAGAAGAACACCAACATTTGAGTGATTACGGAAATAAGGAGGGGGGGGAAGGAATTAGACAACACAATCTCCGAGCTACATGTAACTTTTTTGTATTGCCAACTATGAGATTGGCTGGAGGGGCAGAGGTGGAGAGGCTGGCAGCCGGATTCAAGATAAGGATTCTATTTGCTACTTCCTCCACAATGGCTCAAAATCAGGGGGAAAAAGATGCTATTACCTCCAGTGAAAACAAACAATGGCGCCGCCGGTGAATGCGCAGCGGCTGACATTTACCACCTACCAAGAGGCATGTTCTCTTCATTTGTTCTTGTCTAATATTACCGGAATTGCAGTGCTGCCCTACAACCTTCCCAAACAAATAAATAAAGAAACACTCAATGTCATGGAATGTGCCAAGGAGATTCTGCGTGTGGAGAGCTCCTTTTGTGTGAGGATGCAGCACCCTTCAAACTGGTCTGACAGCTCGGAATAAAGAAGTACATTCAACAAAGTCAAAACAAATGTGTTCCCGAAAATCTGGCGCTTCTCCAGAAATGGGAAGAGAACAACAAAACAAACACTAGGAGGGTGTTTGTTTCTGGGGGAGGCAGAGATGTAATTGTTGAGTTTTTGTCCAGACTTCGGTGTGAAAAGTAAAGTTGTAGAGATAGAAAGTAGGGATCTTCCCCTTCATTTTTTTCCTCTCTTTTCTTTCTCTGTTCCCCGCCCGATATCTCTTTCTCTTGTGTTGCTCGTTTAGAGTTTGGAGGCTGCAGATACAGGGTCATAAATCACGCTGTTACTGGTGTGGATATGAGCCTCAGCCTAATGGTGATGACTCGGCGCGCTCTTTTTCCAGTGCTTTCCCACTCCAGAGATTGGGCTTTGGACACAGTTCATTTAACCTGCCACATTTCCAGAGCTCCCTTTCAGCTATCTGTACTGAGCCTATTAGGACAAGGCTGAACTTTTAATTTCATATGTTCTTCCACCCTTCAAGGGTTGTTTCTCTTCAGCGGCCATTGTCCGGCTCTCTGTTATATTACCCTCACATTTTCAAGGTCTGCTGCAGCCTTTCCAGTGTTTGTAGCCTTTTTTTTATTCTTCCCTCAAGGGCCCATCTGCACGTTTGCTCATCTAGCAAACCAACAAGTATTTTTATTGGATTTTACTGAATCCCTGACCCAGATTTGAGTTTGAAAGCAGCTGAAAAAGACGGTTTGAAATGCTATGGTAGGTAAAGTTTACAAATGTGCGGATGTAGGCAAATTATTCTTTTGAATCATCAGAATAAACAAAATTGCTTTTAGTGAGATAAGTTTCTGCAGTTGAGGTCAAATGAAGTTTCTCCCTAAATAGCTAATGGGGAGGACAGTTAAATTCCCCAAGATCTGAGTATTTTCCATTCGCCAATAGGAAAGGAGAGCCCAGAGCTCTAGTACCCATAGAGGGCTCTTAAAAAAAAGGATTGATTATCAACGGATGGTGGTGGAGAAGCGTGACAGTCAGTGCCAAAGGAGGGCAGCTTAGGAAGGGGAGGAATCTGCAGGGATATGTGTGAAAACACTGGCAGCTCCCCTCTTTCTCACTCTCTCTTCAACTCTGTCCATCCTCCTCTATTTGACAACCCAGGGGGAATCAAACCGGCTGGAGTGATCACACCAAATCCCTCAAGTGCCTTTTTGCTCAACTCCCTGGCATGTACTAGCAAAAGCTTTTCATTTAACATAGTCATGGAGAGGAGGCTAACCTTTGCTACCCTGACCTGACTGTGATTAATTTGCATGCAAAGAGAGGGGTTTTATATAAGAGTAATTGAGGTATCCCAAAGTAGTTAAATGGTTTGAATTGTGAGAATGTCTGGGCAGGAAAAGAGAATCATTATTGCTATCAGCTCGATCCTACATGCGCCTGTGAGAGAGTTTCTTATCTCTGCACACTGGCTGGCCCCAGAGGAACGTTCAGTTTCCAGAAATTGGTGTTGTTAAGTCAGCCTACCCTGAGCAAATGACCCAATCATACAGATTTCACCCTCTTCAGTTCATTTGCTTATGGTTACAGTTGTCACTTTGCAGAGAGACACACAGACTTATGCTCTACTGCCCCATCAATGGATGAAATGAGGGGAGAAATGCGATGTCAATGACAATGAGTCGTGGTGAGGGTGCTTTTGAGCTTTGTAATGACATAAACTGTGATTGGTGTAATGTACAAACCTGCACAGGCTCCCTGATTCTGAATCAACAAGTGCTCCTGTTTCTCACATCTGGCCTTCTTCAGCTGGCACTCGTTGCTGTAGTTTTTGCCATCCGAGCCACAAACCTACAAGAGAATCACAGGAAGGTGAAGGTGTGGTCATAGTCGGCTCAGCTATAAGGTCACTTCACTTGAAAGGAAAGCTACAGTATACAAACAATGTATGTTAGCATTGCCCTATTTATATCAATGGATGACAGCTGAGAAGGACGGCAACTAATGATTATTTTAATTTTATTGACGGTTATTTTTGGAGATTATTTGTTTAACCCTTTTGTCAGCAAATAATGACAAAGATTTTATAATGATATAAAGGCCTACATCTGTTATTTTAAAATACTTAACACAACTTGTAAAATCAGAAGTACAGTACTTCATCTAGGACCGTCTTTTGTTAAAAAAAGACATGCTTTTTTAACAATCATGTTGACAGGACATAATAAGTCTCAGTACTGTCAAAAATGTAATGGTAGTGTTAAACAAACAAATCAGTTTTTTTACACTGATATTGTTTATTTTAATTCAATTTGGGATGGCTTTTTGCAGCAAGATGATTTAAACTGGAAGTATACAATTGTTCAGGAACACTGAGCCCAGATTTCAACCTTTACATATATTTTTTATATTTCATATTTGTACATTTTGCCCAATTTGCACCAAGAGAATCATTTAATGATGTTACAACGAAAGTAAAGACAACTATCTGGATTGCTTTTGCTGAAGAAAACGTGTGGGAATGCAGCTCTTTGATGTCAGATGTTTGTTAGTTCACTTTGTCTCTGTACATTAAATGTGTTTTAATTAGTGGCAGCCGTACCGTGTTGTGAGGCACACTCTGACAGGTGAAGTCACACATACAGCGATCGTCCTCGGCATCCTCGTCCCACGAGCCTCCAAACATGCGACAGCGGTCCTGTTCACAGCTCTCCGCGCCTGATCCTGACCCTCCTGAGCCGCAGTCTGCATTAGAAACACACCATAATACACAGCGTCATTAATAAAACATACAAACCCACGAGGGACAAGCCCTTTTAACACTGCGCCAGCCAGGTATAAACAGTGTCCTACTTACATTTCTGTTTAAGTTACTGCTACATTTACACATGAGGAACATGGCAAAGTTGGGATAATTTACATTTCCCTCATGGACAGAGGGAAGTAAAGGGGCTGCTGGTAGTAGAAGATAATGACCAACTGTAGTGAGAGCAAGAGATTGACTAAATAAATTAGACACAAAATCTCTGCACCACAAGCGAGGCATCCTTTTCGTTTCAATTAAATCACAGACAAAAAAGAGGAGGGAATTATTAACTCCGGCTTCCAAGTGTGTGAGGCAATTGGTGGCAAGGCCTGCTTTATGGGTGCCTGCTCCCCGATATGAGAATACAACTAATTGCAAAGTGTTCTGTAAAATCTAATTATCGCCTGAGACTTTAGAGGAAGCTGTACCCGCTACTTTTTAACTGTGACCCTGGGAGGCCTTTTATTTGTATCAGAAGTGCACTGGATCGAAGTTATTATGCTAAAAAAAAGGTAGCAAGGCCAAACAAAGTCCCACAATCAACGGTATTTGTGGGTTCACAAAACTGTCATCGCTGAACTATTGTGCAAACCTTAGCACAAGGTAGGAAAACTTTAACACGAGGCAAGCAATCCTTACATGAAAAGGGGGGAGAAAAACATTACCAGCAGGGCCGTTTATGGAAAACAAATAGTTTTTCTTTTTGCATGTGTAGACTGGGGGAGGATCCTGCTTTTGAAGTTGCAAATTCCACCTCCAGTGGAACTCCGGAGGGAGATTAGGTGAATGTGGGGAGTGAAAGCTGGAGAGAATGTCAGTCGGAACGAGGGAGGCACCCCGGGGGCTGGCAGAAAGTTCATGTGAAACTAATGTGTTATTCAAAAAATGAAAAAAGGAACGCAGTTAAGCTAAAAGCTCCCAGCGTAGCCTTGGAAAAACGTCAGGTAATCAACTTGTTATTTCCTCTTCCTGTCTACTTTTAGGGCTCATTCAACCCCCTGGTATTGATGCGCCTTCCTCTAATGGTGTAATCAATGTCGCCATGATGGAAGTGCCACTTAGCATAACCCATCTTCTAAAGTAGATTATGGAGCGGGTCAGAGAGCGGGGGGCAGCTGAAGCCCCAGTTGTTCTTTGATATGGGTCATCAGCAATGGGCTGTGACGGCTCCGAGTGGTCGATACAGTGGAAGGGGCCTTCACTTCATTACATGGAACTGGAGCTTCGTGTAGAGCCCCCCCCCCCCCGCAATCATCAGGACTCACTCCGTCTCATTTTTAAGCCAGCACCACCCTCCGACCCTAATCCTTTGTGCTTGAATTTGCAGTCGTGGCTACTTATCGATTGCTGGCCCACAGTCCTATTTAAACATAACAGTTTGTGACAGGGCTAATGCACGGGCTAATGGCGTTCAACTACCAGTGGCATAGCAGCAGATATCTGAATTTAGATCAACAGTAAAGGCTTCTGACTCCATGACAGATGAAAACAATTATTAATGAGAACTTGCGACATTGGTGTACTATACAGCGACTCAGCAAGAAGCAACAGAAAGAGAAATGCAGGAGCAGCCAATTCGTATTCTGCTCAGGCCCCCCTCACGGAGACGAGATAAATAAATAAAAGAGGTGAGACATTAGAATGGAATAAATAAAAGTGAAGGGCGAAGGGGGGTTCTAATTAGCTATTGCTCTTTGATGTGCCCTGCCACCCGCGCTGCATATGAACCTTTCAATTAATACATCCCCAGCTAAGACGGCTGCATCAGCTATTCTCTCGGCACTGGCCATCCGCTCCTTTTTACTCAATCATGTCAGAAACCCACAGTCTATTTAGCCAAGGGGAGCTCTATTAAGAATGCAGCATTCGGGAGAAGAAGGGAAATGAATAGCGTGAGACTAACGTCCAAGGTAGAAAGAGAGCTGAAAAAAACGTTATGTGGATTTGACAGTGAAAATAATGAACAAGTGATGCCATGTGGAAATGTTGGAGAAACAGAGGGAGGAGAACAAGCTGAGAATGAGGGTAAATAATAGAGGAGATGCAGCCTGGAGATGTTTCGGTGGACCAGATAAGTTGTGTTTACATCAAGGGCTCAAGGAGCGATCACATTTAATGGTGATACTTTGATATTATGACATGCGCGAATGTCAACTCGGAAATCGATCCTTGGGCACGCTGTTGGGCAAAGGTCTAAAATGACACTGGTCTTTGCTGAAGGATCAGTGTGGTGCCATTAGCCTTTGTTTTCCCTCCATCTATCAGTCCCTGCTCTTTGATGGATGTGACAGCGTGTTAGTCCAAATAATGTCCTGCGAGATTGAGAGGGATGGGACGTCACACCCCGGCGCAACAAAAAGGGATGGCATGTTTGGAGATGGCAGCGGGATAGAAGACGTTTTGTTGCCTCAACAGAAGGTCGCGAGCCCTGTGATGGATGGACCACGAGGGATCAAATCCGCTAATCTCACTCGATGAGCTCTTTTCCCACCCAGCCGCCCCACGTTGCTTCATCTTTACCACCCTTTCCCGTCTTCCGGAGCTTTTATTGATCTGATTTGTACAATGTGAGGAGCAAAGGAAGCACCACTGTGTGAATCTTTGCTCATAAACTTGTTTATTAAATGTCTATTCATTTAAAAAAAAAGAAGAAGAGCCCTGCCCCCTCGGTTGGTGATGCACTGCTCTCAGTTGCCACTTTGTCAGTGTCGGGAAAAGAAGCTGAGGCCAGGCCTACCCGGGTGTGAAATTAAACAGGTGATACATTTCCCTGTATGGCCAACAGTGGGAACACTGTCATTTTTCATTACTGTTAAACTAAAGGCGGAAGAAAACAACTTCAATTTTTTTAATGCTCTATGCCCGATCCCCGACAAGACTAATGAGGATGGTTTTTAAGTCTATTCTACGTAAGGGAATACATCTCATGTTCCCTTCCTCTTCAGGCTTATCTTAGGTATGAAGTATTGAGCTGGAGGTTGTGCGCACAGGTGATGTAGAGCTCTGCTGCTGTCTACAAAAGAGCCAGGAAATACAGTCTTTGGTCTTATTTATTGTGACCGACTGCTGTATTACACTATATATAAAACCTACCATCCATACACCTAGGGTGGTGATACATATATCCTGTCTGACAGCAGCCAAAGAGAAGATATTTTCAGGGAAGGAAAAACAGTGACTTGGTTTTGATCATTTTACATTCACAGCAGACTTCCTGTGGAGGGTCTGGGGCGGATTTGAGGGGGGCTGAAAAGATCGGGGACAGAGCTGGCAGATTTCACCCCTAGGGTGAAATGTATCGATTGAGCACAATCCCATCCCCACCGTCATCTGTGAAAGCATCGGTGCCCCCTTTATCAAGAGGCACAATTTCAATGGAGAAGAGTGCAAAATAGAGAGACTTGAGTGGGTGGGATGGCACGGCGGGGAGCAACGGGGGAACAAAAAGAGAAAAAAACGATTCTTTTGTGTAAGCCTGATGGTTTTCTCTGAATCAAAATGAGCAACTGATGAAAAAAGGGAATGATGTGCAGACACAGTATGAGAAAGAGAGAATCAAATATGAAGAATATATGCGCCAGGAGCAAAGCAATGCCCTTGGGGAGGCAGAAGAGACGAGCAGCAGAGAGAGTGTGCAGACGTACAAGGGTTGGTTGTGACAGTGAGTTTCTGTGCACACATTTCTTCATGCTCCACATACAAAAAAGGTCACTCGTCTCAGTCAATGAAATTATGTTAAATCGACCACAAGACGATTTGGCGGTACAATTCGCATCACAGGCTCAGGGCCAATATTGGACAATGTTAGAGAAAGTTTCAAAAAAAAAAGGAAAAGAAAGGAACACCGCTGGCGAGCAATCAAAACGGAAGAGCATTCCTCTCATCTCTATTTGCTCTGTCCTCCATCTATCCCCTCTTTTCTTCTCCCCAGACGTCCCCCCCGCTGGCAGGTGTAATCTGCTCCCCTTCACACCTTGTCAGAGTAAGAGTGTGTTGGCGTCGGCCTGACAACCAGAGGATGGCATGTAGCTCCCTCCAGAGTTGTCCCCTTGACGGGTCCCAGCGAGAGGGGCTGTGAAACCCTGCCTCGGTCTGTCAGCGCTTATCAAGATATGATTTGCACGCTGAATTAGATCTAGTTTATTCAGAATGTGGAGGAACAACGGAGCTAGAAATCAGAGATACTCGCATTAAGGGCCATCAGTCACACACTTTAAAGCATAATTGGATTGAAAGGGTTTGAAAAAATGCATACTGTAAATTCTCAAATAAAAAATCGATACAAACAAATAAAACATGGGCTCTATTTAAAGAAGAGGGAAATTACTTCTACAATGGCAAATATCGATTAAACATTTTCATGTGTGCACGTTTCTGCTTTTAGCACAAACACTGTTTTTTATACTTCAACAGGGTTACCACAGCTCTATGAGGTCCAAGGCCAGATTCAAACCCTGGGTCCTCAGCACACAAAGTGTAATGTCTTATACAGATAGGCTTTCAACATCTGTCCAAGAAGAGTTTTCACTGATTGAGTAAAAGTATGAACAACAATATTTATTTTTCTATTTAGTTCAAATGTACCTCAACGCACATTTGTTCTAAATATCACAAGAAAAGATGCAGGTAAGGAAAGAGGGAGGCTTGTTACTAAGATATGATAAAATATAATACAAATGTGGTACATAACAAATAAAACGTTTCTGCTAATATGATCCTGGGTCTACCTGCAGGTGAAATAAATTAAAACCATTTGAGAATGTTTCTGTAACAGGGGCAATGAAGTGAAGAGAGACGCACTTATAAAAAACAAACAAGACCATTAAAATGCACCGCTGACCTGAACTTAATCACCCAGAAGTAATTTCTGTAGCTGTAATAGGTTTTCCTTGATGGACACGCAGTATAATTTCCCCTGCATCGTGTTCTATGTAAGCCTGTTTGCATGCTGCTGGTTACATAAGAAACCATTATGTTGAACCCATCAGTTGACTGGATACCGTACCACAGGTCAGTTGATAAAGATGATTACACCATTTTAAGGCCAATCGGTAAACCTGGTGACGCCATTTTAAAGTCCATTTCCTACCTTCGTCGCAGCTGCCGGGCTTGGCTGCATCGATCTTCCTCTTCTGCTCGCAGGAGGCCGTGCGGAGCTCACACTCGTTGTTGTAGGTGGTGCCGTCGCTGCCGCACACCGGGGAGAAGGCCTCGCCCGAGCACTGCGGGCACTCGCACATATTATGGACGCAGCGGGCCCCCCAGGCACACACGGTGCTGCCGCATGTTTCTAAATCAGAGCAAGAACGGGTCAATGGGTTGTTTTGAAGGATTTCAATCACACCAGACCTTTAAACACACCTCTGGATTAATGAATTCTCTGGTCTTTATCTAATGACCATGCATGGCATTTTCTCTCGTAATATATCCCTCTCTTGAAACTGACATATATGTTCGCTTATTAATTCTTCATCTGGCCAGGTTTGTTGGGATATGAACTGCCTCCACGCTGCTGAATGAGGCTCCTCCCGGGCCTCACTATTATTTTATATTTTCACATTTGATATAAAGCTGCAGAAAAAGAACTCCCACCGTCTCAATGGATGCAACCTTTGCATATCACGCATTTGTCTAAACTTCTACATTTGCAGAGAAACGTTCATAGTCTTCCTCTGCTCATCTAAACAATAATTAGTAATTCATGTTTTCTGTTCAACCTTGCCTGCTTAAAACTGCACAGCTTTCAGAATAATCTGTAATAATCTTGTTATACTTCCTTTTTTCTAAGTACATTAAAATGTATAATACTTTTTAAAAATAATTCTATATTTGATCCTTTTACATCTACATTCCTCTAACTGTGTTAATGAATAACATTTCACCAAAGCAAATTCCTTGTATGTGTAAACCTACTTGGTAATACAGTGGTGCAGGAATGAGTGCTAAAACCTAGAAATGTGTTAGCATTTTACAACTTCCAATATCCTCGTCTTGAAATCATTGTTTTTTTTTAGTTCAACCTGAAATAAGGTATCTAATACCTTACTTTACATAATAATAATGTGGTTAACATGTAATTTAGGCTCTTCACTTCTGTTGATTGCATTTACGCTTCAGAAATCACAAATTGGTGGTTATATGTTTATAATAATCTGCCGAATAAAAATTATATGTATCATAAAAGTGTGTTCGCCACACATTTTATTTTCTGCGATATTCCAAAATCCATTAGGCGAGAGAGCCATGGTGATTGTAATTTCCGGGTCGGCCTACAAAACGACGTCATCACTCCAGTATTATAAACCTGCTTCTGGTTCTGATGACACTGTATAAAATGTATGTATGTTACTTACTGCACTCGCCCTGGCTGACCACTCGGAGATCCATCTGTTGTTTGCAGGCGCGCACGTGCAGCTCACACTCGCTGTTGTAGGTGCTTCCGTCGCTGCCACACACAGGCTGGTGGGACGTGACACACTCCGACGCACACACACACTGCCCGCTCTGGGCATCGCAGATTGCCCCGAAAGAGCAGTTGGCACAAGAGTCATCTAGATGGAGATAGAGAAGGTAAGGTAAGGTACGTTTATTTATGTAGCACATTTCAGACGCAGAGGCAATTCAAAGTGCTTTACATGATCATTAACACATGATAGTAAAGAAGAAGGTAAAGGCTCAGTACGTGTGTTGATGTGTGTGTTTCAGGGTTTTGTTGCTAGTTTCTTGCATGTAATTAATACATGGCCTGACTACACATCTTTAACTCTACATTTTTATATTTTATATAATATAGGCGGAACATTTATTTTTAAGCACTTTTACGTTCAACACAATAGCAACTTCTATCAAAATAATGTTATTGCGGCATAAAGATAGCAGTAGCATGCTGTTAACAGTGGCAGAAATCATATATTGACTCCTAATTTTGACAGCCATTAAACAACTAATTGGTGAAAATGATTTGTTGTCTTTCTTGACAAGTTGTGATTCTGACAGCAGGCATAGTGCTTAATGATGCAGAAATAGGAGAAGTGCAGAGATGCAAAGTTTCCATACTGCGGGGTGAATTCCCCAAAATGGATTGTGGCCGCTGATGAGAAGATGAATTGTGCATCATTTGCAACTGCTACAGTGTCTGCCCCATATCAAGGTCTAATTTACAGAAGATACTGCGCTAATGACATTACAGGGCATGAATACCCACTAAGTTTTGAATCTGCATGCAATGTGCCTTCTATTTGTAGGGAAAAGGGGATAAATAATGAGTTTATTTGTTTAGAAAACTATATTATATTATTGGCATTTTCAAAAATGACAGGTAGAGCAGCTTTTTTCATTTATTTTTCATGACACAACTGTCATTGCATTCTGTCACTGGATCAGGAAATAAATGAGTTTGAGCTATCGCCTGGCTACAACAAACACTGCCATGATCACTGCCATGCCATGTGGATTGGACAGTTTTTGCCATATATCCAAAGGTGTCTGTTTCACACAATTGTACCTAATTTAAATAATTGCAATAGCAATGATTGAGAATTGCAGTTTCTTTTGGTCTTATTTGTACAGCTCTAGCATCTGCCAAATCTTCGCAAAAAGTTTGTGAACTGGGTCCTCCGTGTAGAATGGATGTAACACTTTATTGGAGTCCACCTGGGACAGATTCAATTGATTTGAAATACTTTGGAAAGGCACACACCTCTCTATTAGAATGTGTCACGGTTCAGATGCATGTGTGCACTCAAAACCGAGCCATGAAATTAAAAATAACTCTCCGCAGATAGAATCCAACCTGGGCATAGATCTGAAGGGGGGGAAAAATGCTCCCAAAGTGCTGAAAGATTCCAGGAAGCACAGTGGGCTCCATCACTGAAGAAATGTTTGAACTACCCAAAATTCCCTCTCTTTAGCTGACAGTAAATAACCGAACACAAAAAGCTTCAGGCATTTCGCAAAAATAGTAGAAGCTGGCAGAAGGACAACTGTCTTTTCAGCACTCCATCAATCAGGACATTACTAGAAAAGAGTCCGAACTGGAGCTACTTCTGAGAAAAAGGCCACAAGACACTTAAAGGACTCTGAAAGCATGATGGAAAGGATTTTCTGGTCTGATGGGACAAGAATTGAACTCTTTGGCTTGAATGCCAATTGCTACAAATACAAAAAAAGTGATGCAAACAGTTGGGACCAGAGCGCTTGTTGACATTCAGGTATTATAAAGTTGGCCAACTGTCACTGTCACTGGAAAGTGACCTAACATTTACATTTATTTTAACAATGTTATAGCATGATTCTAATGCTAAAAACAACGCTCCGGTCACCTTTTTCTTATGCAGGGCTTTTAGTAAACACATTGTAAGCCAGTGAAGATGTTTCTTCATTTGTATGTGTTTTGGCACATTTGTGTTTTTATTTTTGCATAGTTTTTTAAACTGCAGCGTGTCTCTCTCAATGCACAGTCGGCACATCCCTTTGGAAAGTTGCTTATCAATATGCCACTTTCATCTGTATTTTCTTGCCAAAACAGACTTAGAGAGCTTATAAGTATACAATGACCATCTCATTGAGGAATTGTCTGCTTCTGAAGTGTTTCCCTGAGGAAACAGCTAGGCAGGATGGGACATGTTCAGGGTATTGACTGATGTTGCATGGGGCCGGGAAACAAATGAGAAGGCAAATGCGAGGCCTCGTAAGCAGCAGACAGGCTAGCAGTATTATGCGCCTATCCCTTTGACACCAATTACACCTGGAGGATTGCATTAGCCCAGCTCGCTATCACATTCAATTAGGGGCAAGCTAATAACCGCTGCTGATTTCGCACTAATTGAGAGAGGCGAGGCTGGCCGCTGGAACTCTCTTTCCACATTATTAATCTGTTTATTACTCTTTGAGAGTCTTCTATTGCCTCTCCATCTAGTGCTGGCATCCACTCTCTTCTTCTAATAGGAGCCTAGACTGAGAACTGAACAAACAGTATGTTGCCCGTAGGAGAAATATATTCCTATATTACTAAAATTACAAATGTTATACTTACACATTGCATGAGAAGAGCATGCAGGATCTTTTTCTTTTTGTTAAAACAATGTGTATTTCTAGTTTGGCTGTTGAGGGTGTTTCTGGGCAAGCTTCCTGTTTTAACATCTTAAACGCATTTATGATCTTCCCCCTGTAAACTAAATAAATAAACATTATATAGCAAATGGGAATTGGTGTGGTTCCTCTTTGGCTGTGGGAGCTATACATCAGGAGGTGGCGGTGCCGAGAGTTGCCCGTTATCAGGCCTTGTGTCCTGATAGCAACCTTGTCTATTTATCTGCTCATGTCCCCGGCACCTGGCTCCGCACGATCCTCCAGACAACACCACAAACACACGGAAAAGGAGAGGAGTTGGAGTTCAAAGCCAAGAGCAGAGGGGAGAATTGTCGCCATTACTGGCAGTGTTAAGATGTCCATTTCCTGTCATCTCAGATTAAGTTATCTACAAATCTGAGTTTTAGTGAATGTTTTACTTCAGAACTTCACGAGCATGAAATGATGAGACTTTAAGGTAAAAAGTCTGGCAGGCAAGGCATCACGATGGGTTCTAATGTGCTCATCTCATTTAAATGTACTTTCATGTCCAACAATGCACACATCTCTCCAGCCAGTAATATGTACGGTACAACTCAGTGTGACCGAGATCAAAGTAAGATATTTGAAGGCCTTCTTATGGTAGTTCTAATGAAATATAATACCAACTGAATCCAAAGCACCTGATTCAGTCCGGATGCACCAAATAGGACCTGTCTCTGGCCGTTAAATGGCTTCTGGCGTATGAATCTGAGCCAAAACTGGTGCCCAGATCATAAAAGTTTGAGAATATTTGTGCGCCATTCATAACAAAAAGGGGTTCAATTATGCAAATGTTTAGGTTCATATTTGTGTTTTGTGTCTCTACAGCGACATGTTTACATGCTTTAATGTTCAAAAAGGTCTTTATTTTTCTCATACTGTCTGTGCTGCAGCACCTGTTTCACCTTCTGTCTGAAACCAGAGCCCACTCTGCTCTGATCAGCTGGCCAGCTCAGTTGTGACTGGTCAACTACTTAGAGATATCCCGCCCCTTAGCCTATCATGTACAATGTGTTGGAACGCTAGCCAATAGCAGGGCGAGTGTTACGGACTGATTTAACTATGTCACGGAAGTAAACAAAGGACTACTATTGGTCACTCTTTGATGATAGGATAACACAAAGATGCTGTATATTAACATCAATAATTTTTTTACTTCATCAATCTTCTCCGTATTTCAATATTTCTTGCCTTGTCAAACTTTTGATAGGAATTTAGATAGTCCCGTTCAAGTCCCCTTGACAAAAAGTTGCTAATGCTTGTTGTTGCTTTGTGACAGCTTTGTTAGCACTGTTCTTGGAAGTGAGAGTGAGAAATACTGGCAGGTTGATATAAAAAGAGGCATTGAAGGCATGAAGGATTGAGTCATTGAGGAGGTGAAAAAAAAAAAACAAAGACCCTCCAGCTTTGCAGCGTTTTGTTGATATCCCTCACTGGGGAACAACCTGAAATTGCGGCTGAGGGGGTCTAGTCTGAGAGTTTACTCTATATTAAGCAGAAAGGAGTAGGCTGGTTTGTGTTTTGAAGGATTCTGAACATGCCCGGGTGATAACAACACCCCAGTCGATGCCTGCCCGGCCGCTACACTATTAACTCTGCCCCCCCACTTGCTCTGCTTCTCTTTATCTTATTTACCTCCGTCTCCTCCCCCTCCCTGCATTTATTAATTTCCCCTCCCTCTTTCCTAGCCGCTCTCATGCTGCTGTTATAACCTATATTTCTTACTCAATGGTGTATATCATTTCAAACACCTGTGGGAGAAAAAAGGGATGAATTTGTTGCCTCTGCCCTCATCTGTTTGGGTAAAGCTGTATGAATGGACCTTTTTTTCAAGGCGTCTGATATCCAGCTGAGGGGGTCTATTAACCGAGCCTGCCCATGTTGCAAGGTCGCCCCTCCACTAAAATGCAAGAGGAGGAAATAATCTGAGAATAGTAAGTAATCTCACTCATATTGCTATCGGGTTAGCACCTGGGCCATATAGATAACCGCTATTTTTCCAGCTCGCAGCGAAGGAAATGAAATGACGGCTTTGTCCATGAGGAGCTGTGGAAAGCTACACACACATATACACACATTTAAGCACACATGCCAAGTCCGGGCAACCTCCTAAACCCTTACTGCCCTCACCTGCCTTCCTTAAGCCCCTACTTTTGGGTTTGGAAGCTAAATAAATGCGTTTGGATGAAAGTAACAAAACAAGTTATACAAATAAAACCAATTTGATTTCTATTTTAATAAATATGAAATGAAAAGACCTAATTAATGTTGTAGAAATAGAAAATAAGACTGAAAACAAGGAGAAATCAAAGTGAAAAACCTAGAAAATGCAAATGATAAGGGTCGGGGTTATTCAAAAACCTGTTTGACACATTATTCCGTGGCTCATGACTTCAACTTTAAATTTAGATGCTTCACAGCACCTGAAGGCGGCATATGCTCCTTCCCTTTCTCTCCCTTTCTGCTCCATAAACATGTATAGTATATTACTTGGGGGAATAGACTGCGATAATTAGGTGAGATAATAGCTTAAGTCAGTCAGTTGTTATGGTGCTGAATGAGGCCCAGTAAAGCTGTGCAAACAGCCCAGAAATAACCCCCATTACCATTGCCATCATTCCTCGGCTGGCTCGCGCCTGGCAAGCCAATGCCTCAGCGTTTTTATGGCACCATTGCGCTGACGCAGGCCTGCTTCCTATGGGAGCCAAGAACCATCCATAGTGCTGGATAACAGACATTCCCCCCCGCTCCGCCAGCTTGCTCTGCTTCCCGCTTTTTAAAATAAAGACTATTCATTACTGCCGTGGGACCAGCGGCCGACAGACCTGTCGTCTACCAGCGCGGTAGCGCACCAAATTGAGCCTGCCCACCGACCAAACACTGCTCTCGTTCCATTTCCTGTTGGCATACATCCTTGCGCTGGATTTCAATTTAGTGGATGCTGGTAGGGGGAAGATGACAGATGCAACACGCGGGCAGGCAGAGAGGGAGCGCAGGGGGGGTTCCAAAAACGAACCCTGTCATCTTCTCAGAACAGAGACTCAAAACACTATTCATTTAAAAAAAAAAAAATATCCTGGATAAACAAACTCGACCTATAAACCGCACATTTGAGGACAAACCAGAAGAGTGCGATTTTATATCAGACTAAGTTATGATCATTCAGCTAACTGCTCAGCTCCTCAGCAAGCATAACACAGCAGAGGGCGACACATTTTTATAGTTATGGTCTTCAAAATATGCAGGAAGAAAAAACAGGCTATTGTAGGAAAACAGTGAATGAGGTAGCATAGAGAGTCCGGCCAAGGGGCTAATAACCGCTGTGCTTCTGCCCAGTGTGTGTGAAAAGCAAAGGGCTGGATGGTAGACAAGGAAGAATACTCATTCACCAATTAGAGTCCATGTGAAAATTGGCCTTCTAAAATGGCATTAAGCCATCAAGAGTTTTCTCTAAGTGGGTCTACCAAGCTGTAAGAAATCTGCCCGCTTGGCTGTGTGCCTGCATAGTGGATCTGAAGATATTTTTTACCAGCTCTGCTGTGGCTGGTGTGCTAATGACTCTCTGACACTCCGACATTGGAGACAAAGCCAAGTGCCTCATGTAGCCAACGTGGATAAGTACGGTTGGTATTCTCTTTCAGCAGGAGTAAAGTGCACCTTTACTTAAAGCTCAAAACAGGCAAATCGGAGTGTTGTTGTTGTTGTTGTTGTTGTTGTTGTTGTTGTTGTTGTTATGGAAGGGCTGGAGAAGAGCAGGAGGAGAGAGATGAAGAGTAATGGACCACGGATAAGAGATGCATTAAGGCGAGAAACTAAAGGTTTTTCTTCACTGGTCGATTTCAAAAGTTTGGGCTATTTTGCTTCATGTGGAAAGATAAAATGAAAGTGTTTATTATACAAACATTGTCTAGCTATGACTTTAAATCTCTGCATAATTCACGAAAAAGCAATGATTTAGTCGTATTTTTAAGAAACATTTTTTATACAAAAAGTTTCAAAAACACAAATCTTTAAATACCGTTTCTCAATTGTCTTTGTTTTGTTTATTGTGTTTCATTCATAGCCAGAACTATATAACATCTACATCATTTTTGTAATGGCTTTTGACATAATTTGTATTTATGGAGTGATACAAAAATATATTCTTAACTTCTTCAGTGAAGACCTTTGACTATAGCTTGTCAACAAAATAAAACAATAACCAGTTTTTTATTTTTATTTTCAGATTTCTGTACTGGGAATCTATGCAAATTAGTACAAACTTATTTAAACATGTAAACATAAAATGTCAAACTAAATTGAAACTTGTAAAAAGAATTGCCTTGATGTGTGTAATCAACAGGGGGAGTTTCATGGTGATATCTATTACATATTTTCCCTATTCACCTGTAGTACCTAAAGCTGTATGACAAACTGTTGGATATGAAAGGGAAGCCCTGAGGGGGTCACCATGATTATAATTCCATATATGTTCATTGTTAATGTCTTAGCAATAAAATTCTGCCTGTGGGTAATGTAGCACCATTAATTAATTAGATCCTAATTATATTCCACAAGGACACATCTTTCCCTACCTGTGAGCTATAATTCACCGTTTCATAGTGATTCAATGAGTGAACGATGAATTACTGTGTAATGTAATGTGGCTGTTGTGCGGCTACTCACCACAGGGTCCTTTGTGCTGGATGTGAATGGCCTTCTGCAGGGCGCAACCCATCGCTCTCATTTCACAGGGGCTCCCGTAGCTGTGGCCGTCGGATCCGCACACGGGGTCCGATGTTTGCGGGCAGGCCTCGGGGCACTCGCACACCGGCACGTCGTTTTCAACCACGCACACCGCCCCGTGATCACACACCTTAACAAGGCAGGGGCTCGGTATGCTGAGATCTGAAGGCCGAAGGCATAGAGAGCAGAGTTAGAGGAGGGGGATATTGGACTGGGTTGATGAGAAGCGGGGACAATACATGGTAGAGGTTGGAGAGAGGTCTGGGACTGGAAAGGGCAAAGGTCACAGGGAGGTGGGTTAGAGCGTAGCTTCACGGGGAACTGCAGGTTGGTTGTTAGAAAGGGAGGTATAGGCGATATGATGTAATATGCAGTATATCTGTGTTTCTGTGACACCTCTGCTTCCTATGTCATTTCCACACCTTTGTGACTACCCTGATGTATCCTGAATCTTTAAAGAATCCGGTGGCACAAGGGAAGAGGATAAAAAAAGCTAGCCCCGTAGCACAACTGAGATGAAACGGCCTACAAACAATGGCTGCACATTTCCTTTTTTTGGGGGGCAATAAACGCCCGGATTAATTGACGTTCCCAATGTGCCCCTTCAAAGAAAGTCATTTGCATCTCAGTGAGAGCGACCGCTTCAGCCAAAGCTGCTTGAACTGACACGGAGGAGCGGGAAAAAGAGATGTGTGTGAGAGAAACTGCAGAGGAAAAGAAAAGAAGAGTAGAAGAGAAGAAAGAGCCCTCTGCTTAATAATTCACAAAAGGCAAGCTCCTGGGCTGAGGCAGATATGAAATGTGAACATCACAGAGAGGTGTCTGCTTCAGTCTCTCCCTCTCACGCACAAGCTCCAGCAGGACTTCATTAAAACCAGGACTGGGTTTTGCACCTATGATTCTCGGTGGTGGGAAAATGGGTGTCGTCTTAGCTGATATAACTTGACATGATCAGGAGAGAGTGGAGAAAAAGGCTACGAAGAACTCTTTGATCATGGCGTACCCTCCTGACACAATCAATTCTTTAAAGCTTCATGTGTCAATAACAAATATTATGTGGCGTTGTGGTGCTTTGGTTGATGGTTAAAGTCTGAGCCTTACGTCAGGACAGTATACACTCTGGTATCAAGAGTAAGCAAGAGACGATAAGCGGAGTCCAATGCAATTTTCATTTGGGAAGCTTCACGCATGAGGGGCGGATCACTCAGCTAAATGTGGTGTGTCTGCAGATTGGTGGAAAAAGCAGAGGAAGTCATCCAATCATTTCTGATGAGAAGTGCTCAAAGAGGTGCATTTTAAACAGAATGTCAAGCAAACTTCCTCCTTTTCTGGTCTTTTGTTTTAGCTTCTGTTAGAGGGGTTGGGGTTGCTGTCATGGAAACTGCCCCTTGTAATGACACCACCCATGGCTCCATCATTATTGCGACTATTATGGGATTAGATGGCATCACAGGGGGCAACTTGCCATGTTTTGGAGCCTCGTGATTAATTTATCAGCTCAGGATCGTTCAGTAGTAGTGCCTATGCTGGGGTGAACGATCAACGGAGGCCATTAAGTTGTTTTACGTTGATTGAAGCAATGGGATAGGTAATGCAATTGTTACCTGTTCATCTTAACTTTAAAACTTTACAACTGAGGTTTAGTGTAAAAAGGTTTGTATACTGAAGGTTATCCATAAGAAGCAATCTCGCTTGAAAAGTGAAGTCAAAATAGTGGTTGCAAAAATTATTCTATTCTGTTTTCTTTTTCTAGAATTCTATGAGAAAATGACCCTAATTATCACTTGAATAATTCACCCAGTGAACATTTTCCTAGTAAGTTTACAGTTATAGTTTCTGGTTCCAAGGGTTTCTCGTTACAGGTTTATATTAGTTTTGCTAATTAAGGTCTCATTAACAAATAATTATACTATAAAGCTGGGTATGTTTAAGGATTTAAGCTACGCTTTCTAACACATGATTCTTTTTGATCTTTCTTATTGCCAACATTTTTCTTACAACTTTAGACACTAACTTTGTCTGGAGGCAAAGAAAACCAAGATGGCCGTCGTTTAGCTCAGTTGGTGGAGCTGGTGACCCATGTACATGCGGACGACCCAGGTTTGAATCTGTCCAGGGACCATTTGATGCTCGTCATCCCCTCTGTCTCCCCCTTTCAATACTTTTGTTTTAATAAAGCCACTTTTGGTAATCCAAAAACAACACCAAAGCGAAAGTCTACGCACCAATTGGTGACTACGCCCTCGTCATATATACAGTGTATGGTTTTCCATTATCTCCTACTATTTTTACTGCTAACTTTTGGCTTAACAAATATTTCTGGATGTCGAGCAAGGCCCCCATTTTTGAAGCAAATCTTCCATACTTAGAAGGCGGAAAACATCTATTGTTTTTTGTGTTTGGATACCAAGCTGCTGTCTCTAAAGAGCTTGGAGGTGCTACACAAATATGTAAGCTTCTCAATGATACTTGATTTGGCACACCTTCAAAAACAATTGACTTCCCGTGATCTCTTTCTGACTCCTCACATGTGTCTGAAAGTGTGTGTGTGTGTAACAGTCGTAAGCCTGTGATCCGGGCTTAACCGCGCAACCTTGGTCTGCATAAAAGTTCACCAGCCCACTTCCCAAGGACGGGCTCCTCAAACACAACTGCAGCCTTTGATAACGCCTTAGTCTCCTTTTCTCTTTGTTTTACACCCATAAAAAAGATGAAAGAAAATAACCCTCCAAAACTAATTTTTTTTATCATCCTCTACCTCTGGGGGGAACAATTTCTGCCTGATTCATTAAGTGGAAAGTGTGTAAGAAAAAAAAGAAAGACATGACAAAATCCCCCAAGTGTAAAAATCTTATGACACATTTAAAAAGCTGTCTTTCTCTTGGTTGCAAGCAGGAGCTTTGAAATGGCAGCCTGTCACAACTAAGGCTTGTGGGATGTTGTTCAGAAGCCTGTTCCAGCTCTTTCTCTCTCACTGGTTGCCTCCCAGACACTTAAATTCAATCTTCTTCATGCATGTATCAGTGTTTCTGTCAGCTAGGTCCAGAACAAACCCGAGTTGCCGGGTTTAAACCAAGCTATTTTTATTTCTATGTGGGAATTAGCTTGACAGTTGAATGGGAACATCTGCAGTGCCAAACACGTGATAAGCCTGTTGGCCGAGGCATTGTTTTAGTGGCTGAGCAGGTGCAGTGAGTGGGCTGGGGAAAAGTCAAACTGTGAAAAAAATCATGAATATTTCTTTCTAATCAGGGATTCTGGTGTGCGGCTGTGCACTCTGCTACAGTATGTTCCTGTACCATGAGGCTGGTGGAAGAGACTTTACGTTCTGAGTGTGTCTCCTAACTGCCAGCGGCTGTGTAACTTCTCTTTCTTAATTAGTATGGTATTTGAATGGCACAGCCCTGCTTCAGGCCAAGGAGGGGATTACTACAGGTTCGGCCATGCTATATCAACACGAGAGGTCTTGGATGAAAAAATTGAAAGGACATGTTCGTTCGATGTTGATATATGCCCTCCTGTCCAGTATCATTACCACCCTCTTACCATCACCATCTGACTGGTAAAGCCACTTCTAAAGCTTAACAAATCCCCTGTAAGGTGGCCGTGATGGCACAGTACTGTCTGCCATTGCTGCAGTGAGCAGGCGCACTGTTAACCCCCTCCGTAACATGTCGCTGAAATGCTGGGAGATTATTTTGGCGAGAGCTTCCTCCCATCTCCGCTCAGCTCATACATATGTAAATTGGACTTTTCCCCCCTCGGGTCTGTGTGCAATTCCAAATCGCTGCCTGTTTTTTTTTTTGCGGGGCAGTGAATCTGTGTAATCCAGGTGATGCTTGTAGTAGCCAACTGGTAGGGAGAATCACCAACAACCTATTAAAACGCGGGACTCAATGTTCATCGTGCCCCGCCCTCTGTGATTTTCACCTGCAGGGCTTTGATCCGACTCCCTTTGCCTCCCTCACATTAAAAACATTTATGTATTATATTAGTCGAGGGGAAAGGGAGGTGCAGACAAAGGGCCATATTAGCATACAGCAAAAGGGATACCCGCGGGCTGTGTCTGTCTACTAGTGAACACTTATCACAGGCAGGAGGGGGGCTCTGTACATATCACAGATAGGAACACGCTGCTCTTCAAACATGGTGACAAGCAAAAAACTGCGAGGGGGAAAGAAGAAAGGCATGCTGGGATCCCTGATTTTTGTGACATGTATCCATCAGAGGTGAGATGACGTCTAAAAAGGAATCCAAAACGAGCGATATTATCCTCGAGGATTGTGACACAGGAAGTTTCAAATATGATTTCTCGATTTGATACAAAAGCAAACATAAGAGAAAATGAAAACGACTGTGCTTATTGCACGTTTAATTAAGTCTGGAGAGCTAGAGCAGAGGAAACAGGAAATGAAATCAAATAAATTGGCGGACTGTTTGGTTGATGACACCGACTACGCTTCGAGTCACTGACGGCACCCTGTTGACCCACAATCCTCTACAATTTCTGCTGGATGGCAGCCCGCAGGCCGCAGTAAGTGGACCGGCGCTCCCTGGCTGCTGTCAATCCGGCTCCCTCGGCACTTCCTCTAATTAACTTGATTAGGAAAAACAGCACTAGTGATCTCAGTCTGACTCACATACCCGAGCCGCCGACTGTTTGTGAGTCCAATCACTGCAGCCGGCAGAGATACTAATCAAATAAACATGCAAATAATAAAATATTCTTAACAGAGTTTTGACACCTAAGGTGACTGCATTTCCTTTCCCGTTTTGCAAAGCTCTTTGTCAATGACAATGTGTCTGCCGTTGAGTGATTTCGCGTTAACCTCCGAAGGCGACAGACGACACATTTCAAGCAACTCGCTCGCACTTCCTTTAGTTAATTTTTCTTCTTCTGCGCTTGCAATCAAAAATGCACACTCAGCTGTGCACACAGAAAATGTCAAAAAAGCTGTGAATAGAGATTTATTCACCCAAAAAAACTAGCCTCTTTCGTTTGTTCACACTTAGTTTACCTGACAATGTGTTACTCTCTTACTGTGTGTTTCAGTGTTTTTTTTAAGAATTGTCCTCTTCTTAAAAGCCCAACTGCGGCTTGTATTTATGCTTCATGAACTACCAATTAAGAGACTCTCCACTTTCTATTCTGCTAACACCAGACGCGAGGCCAGTACGTCGACAGGCTCCAAGGAGTTGTGGTGAGCAACAGCTTCAATTGATTAAAAGTGCTACTGAATATGCCCTAAAATAGCCTGAAGGGGCAAATAAAGAAGAAAAAACACATTCTGGGAAAGAAGCAGGGAGTGATACTTTATAACTTGGGCCAAGAGAAAGAAAACAAATGTTGTTGTTTTTTAGCCTAAAGAAGTTTTGAGTTGAACAACTTTAGTCTGAGTAGACTACTGTAAGTCGTTTGTTAATAACTCTCATATATGTGGCTGTTTTTTTACTGTTAGATCAGTTCATTCTCTTTTACTCTTTTACTTAAACACACACAACCAGGTTAGGGACAACTCTTCACGGTGATGGAACCATGTCCTTTCAAAGCTTCATTACTCACGCTGCAGCTCCGAATATCTTTACATAAAGCTGCAGGCACTATATCTCTGGTCCAAGCAAAAGCACATTAAGCAGAGTACATTACACACAGGTGCAAGGAGGAGTTGAGGACCCACTAAGCTATTTTGATCATTATTGGTGAAAGCACGGTAGATGTGGACTACCTTCTGTCTTTTCCTGACAAATCATCAGCATTTTACAGCTTTAAAGCCGAAAGTATAAGAATCCTTTTGATGAGCCTTGAAAGAACCAACCAAATAAGGAAGCAAGAAAAAAAAAATTGTGAGTCTTTGAAAATGTTAGTGTGCCAATACTACCACTATTGTTTGGTCCTCTAAATAGAAAACTGCAACAATATCCAACCCTGCACGCACACTTCCATGTTTATTTCGTGCTGCTGCCCTGCTGTGCTGACATCATACAAGAAAGGGAGAATAAAAAAAACAGGACTTTTACTTAAGCTTAAAATGTTCTGTATGATGAAACGTGATGAAATAAAGTCCAGAGTAGAAAGGAATCACAACTGTTGATTTGGATGCCAAACCAGCTGCCTCTTTGGTGATGAAATATATTTTCTTTCTTAAGTGTCACAGCACTTAAGATTCAAGGAAAAGATTTGTGACTCCGCCTGGATGTAAGTTAATCAGCTAAACGCCATGCATCTCAATCTGTAAATTGACCAGCTTTAGATATCAATGAAATAGTTCCGGGGAGGACAGCAGTCGGGAAATATAGACATGTGTTGCATGACCATTCTTTGTGGAGGCGAGGGTTGACATGGGAGTGGGGGGGGGGGTTGATATTAGGGCACTGTCAACCACATGAAAGTAGATTTACGACGGTGCCAGAACTGGAGAATTTCATCCGTTTGACAGCTGACAGGGCGATCGATCACCCGGCCCCGACGCACCACTCAGCCAATGAAACAAGGAGGGGGATCGTAATTTATCAAATAATGATAATTTAATATATCAAACTCTTCCTTTGCAGATGCATGAAAGTTCGCCTGAAGCCTTCAAAATCTGTGCGCCACGATCACACAGCGAGCATTGTGGAGGCTTCTTTTGACACTGCCAGTCACTGTCAGAGTACAAGCACAATAGAGCACAATAGAAGTGTGTGTGTCCCACATTGTATACAGTGTGTGATCAGTGTGGGCTATTGATCGATCTCTGACAAGGCAGGCTTTTCTGAAGATGGAAAGACGCACCGAACACAAATCTCATATTGCATTCATCCGTTTTTGAAAAGGGCTTTTTTTATGTCTCTGTAACTTTGACTTAATCCTTCTAATAGTGTGTTTACTTATTAAATGAAAACACACAAATGTGTGCCATGAAGCGCTATTTACGCCCTGTATTTATTCTCCATTAATGTATTTGCGTGATACTCTGGCGAAAGCCTATCACCGTCTCCGGACTTTCTTGAATCAATCTTAAATAGAGGAAAAAAGCCGTTAAAGATGTCTTGTATGTTTTAAATGCCAGTGAGTTTTTACATTTCTAGTCAATCATGCTGCTCTCATTTTATGACTAATTTAACTGACATTCTTTTATGTTTTGATGAACCCTTTCCAGAAATTAACAATTTGTTTGCTTGTTCTCTTGCTGACAGCCCCCAAAAAGCATGAATTCAGACTTTTTTTTAAATACAATTTGGCATCAAAATGTAGTTATTATGGCATTCTTTTGATGCGTTAATTGCAATTAAATCACAACAAAATCTGATTGCTTCAGCTCGTACCGCTGTGGTTAACCAGATTAATTCAGCTGCGCGAAGATTCGAGAAGAAGAGCCTAAAAATCCTTTTGCGTTAATTGTGATAAAACACTGACAGAAAGAAACATAGAAAGATCGGGGACGGAGAAAGAAGACTGAAAGAAAGTAAGAAAGAAAGTTGTAACATGTGCATGGACAAACACACACACATGCCTGCATATCATCCGTCTGACTAAACCAACAGCCTCTGTGGGCACCTACGCTCGCCTCTTCTGATGTTTAATTAAAACTGAATAGAGGGAGGGGGTCGTTTGTGGCGCTGTGTTTTGAAAAATATGCAAATGTCAATAAAAATGCATTAAAGAAACATACAACCAGTCGCTGACGGCTGTGATGCGCAAGGGAAGGGAGGAAGGATGAATAGAGAGAAGGCATGTAACATAACAAAATAAAAGAGGGAGGAAGAGGAGGCTGAAACACCACTTGGCAGAAATAATGAAACGGAGCAAAACACATAAGAGCTCGCACTGCCGGTTCCCCGTATTTAATTTATGCACAGTGCAGATGGACAAATAATGCTAATGAGAGCTGGAGCCTCCCGATGCTGACAATTGGAGATAACTTTGGTATTCAGCTCCACCCTGACGCCTGGGGGACAGACACATCCCTCTGGTTTTATCACAACAACAATGGCAGTGTGGAGGGGCACTCAGGACAAAATAACACACCGTGTCTGCTGTGTGGATTTGTTGGTTGAAGTATTATGTATGACACCAAGCAGCACAAGCTTCGGGTTTATCATGCATGCTGGGGTATGGAGTTATGATGGGAATCAACAAAAACGGTTCTAATTCAGGAGATGGTTCGAATACTACAAGATCAGCCGTCAAAACTCACTTATTAAGAGGTGCTAACGTGGAGGTACACCCAATTCAAAGGCATAGATTACTGTCAAAGCTCTTTAAAGATGTTACTTTTCTCAGGAAGGAAGATCAGAATGAATGTAAAAAATGAATGAATCATCATTAATTCTAAGTTAGAAAAAGTTAGTTAGAGGTTTGACTGTTATATGAATACATAGAGTACGGTTTAGGTGCGAAAGGTGTGAAACCTGCGAATGATGTCACAGGAAATTTGACAACTGTTTTTCAAATGTTATCATTTCTGTCAAGTCAACACATCTGATCAAGCCTGTTCAACTCCCGAATGGATACCTACCAATAGTTGTTTGCAATTTTAATTAAATAATGGCCTAATTAAGTTTACCCACGATTTTTCACATTTAATGCTAATGTTTTAAAAATGATTTTGCTTTAGCTAAATTATTTTGAATAATAACTCAGACCTTGAAGAAACAGAAATAAGGGATTCCAACCTAACCCTAGCAGTAGAAGGAATGCAGTCAAAATACAACCATAGTGACGGTTTTAATCTCAGAAATGGCAAAAAATATGGATATTTTTGCATTCATTGGCCAGGTGCAAGTTTTATGAGGTGATGGTGAGAGGGGTTGTGAGGTTAAGAGCTTGCATGCATTTTTCTGCATGCAGAAAAACAGGAGTCAGATGTGAGCGGTGTTAAGGCAGGTAGGAACAGGAGGAGTTGTTTTTGTTGACAGGAAATAAAGCACAGAGAGCAGGGACAGAGGAAGACTTCTCCAACCTCACGGATCACATCTTTTCAGCGGGGTAAACAGACGGAAAGGACATTGATGACACAAAGAGACAGAAGGAGCGAGAGGAAAAAGACAGCTGTACAAGACCCCTGCTGTTAGGTCCTTTGGGAGCGAGGGGGGAGGGCTTCACCCCTCAGAATCCACCTGATGAGGTCGCCCACTGGGTGACCCCACTTTCCACCTGCAGCCAGGCAGCCAGGAGGACGACCACAGGGACAAAGACAGACAGACAGACTGAGTGACGCACTGAAACAAGAAAGAATAGCTTTTTTTATATACAGGAATAAGCAACACACAAGAGACAAAGACAGAAGAGGAGGGAGGGAAAAATACGACAAAAGCCACCGAAGTGGAAGACTTGCATTGGTGAAGGAGTAGAAAACAGAGAGTGTGAATGAATGAAACATGAAGGTGGCGTTTCATTTAGTTTGAGATGGAGGGATGGAGCGTGACAGGGATGAGGAGATGGATGGGAGCTGGAGGAGTGAAGGCACCGGGTTTTTTTTGTAAGGAAGGCACACAGTCGGCTTGAGTTTCCCCAACAAACCCCCCTTCTTCAAAGAGCATCACTGAACCGTTTCTCAGTAAAGCACAGACATACAAACAGTTGGCCTAGAAGATAAAGAAGGGGAAAACACACATTGAATATGCATTAAAAGTAAGCAGGGAGAGTTCCTTTCTCTTCCTTCGGCTCCACTCACCACAGGGCCCCTGTTGCTTGATGGAGATGAGGGTCTTGCTCAGACACTCGGTCTTGCGTCGCATGCAGTCGTTGGTGTAGGTCTGGCCGTCCTTGCCGCACACGGGCTTGTAGGTTCCGTCGCACTCGATGGGGTCGCAGGAGCAGCGGGCTTTCAGCTGCTCCACCAGACACACGGCGTTGAAGAGACACTCCTCCTGACAGTCATCTGGAAGAAGGAGACGGGGAGAAAGGCAAGGCAAGTTTATTTATAGAGCACCTTTCAACACAAGGCAATTCAAAATGCTTCAGAGAAATGAAAGACAAAAAGGGAATTTATATAGAATTTGTGGATCGTCCAAATGGTAAATGGACTAGATTCATATAGTGTTTTTTTTTGTCTTTGCGACACCCCAAATTGCTTTTAAATGTACAAGTCAGCCTTCACCCGTTCAGACTAATTCCTAGAGAGGCAGATGCTTCCATAAAAGTCGCCACCTGCTCTAACCCTAACCCTAATTTCCACACATGAGTCCATTCCAATAGGAGCAGGTTGGGGAGATGTATCCAAGGACACATTCACATGTTGACTTCAGGGGAATCGGGATTGAACCCCTGACCTTCCAATTGGAGGATAACCATTTACCTCCTGAGCCAGAGACTATTTGGATTTCTCTTTTGTAGACCAATCGGTAAACTTGAATGGAAGCATTTGTTATTGTAACATGTTGCCACTAAAGACTGTCAGGTTCTCTTTTATTGTCACACGTCTTTTTTTAAGAGTTGGTTTCCAGAGGATTATTTAGGTAAAAGTGTGACAGGCTGATTACTATTAAGGAAAGGATAACAGGAGAACTCTGCAAGCGTAAACAAATATTTCAAACTAGAAAACTAGGAGTCTGATAACGGGCACATTTTGATTTCCATTCAAACAGTAATTACATGTTAGGGTGGACTGATGCCGTTGGTACGGTTAAAGATTTTCTTTCAGCAGCAGAAAGGCGGTTTAACAACTCACCAAAATTGATTATATGTTACCATGATTAAGTTAGTTGTAGTGTATTAGTGGTTTTAAGAATAATTATGGACTGTTCACAACTAAAGAAAACAAAAAAAAATCAATGTTATTATATTTAATAGAAGAAGTAATAATAACAGATTTAAGACCAGACACATTAGGTTTAAGAGCTGGCTGGTGCACGGATACAAAACTGGTCATAAAAAGGAGTCTCTCTTTATTACTTTATGTGAGTATTTGCCTGGTTATTGTAGCAGTCCATTTGTTGTTGTCTTAGAAATCTTTCATGTTGTATTTGATGAACTTGAGGTAAATTCTCTGGAGAGTATTGATTGCTCTTACCGAACAAGACTTTGGAGGATGAACCTTTTAGATGTTATTTGAAAGTAATAGTTAGCAGTAGTTCCTCTTCAGGATAGTGTGTACTACATTCTAAGAACATTTTCTTAACTTTTGGGCCAAAAAAATCCTACTTTGTAATTGTTAAGCCATGATAAGCATCACGTTTGCCATGCTCCCAAACTTAAATGAAAAAAGTTCCCCAAAAACTTTATTAAATTAGAAACCCCAAAGGAATTCAATATTTTGTAGGGTCAAGTTAAAGTCTAAACTATTATATTCATTAAATTCTGACTCCCTAAGCAGAAATCTACAGTGTAAATTGGGAAGAAAGAAAGGAAAACTGCTAATGTGCGACGGCAAATTTGCCATTGAAGTGAGCAAATCCAATTTGAAGCAGGCCTCTGTTCTGGAGGCGCCCACTAGGCTTGGAATTTATTTCATTCCTGATCAGTGGATCAAATTGGTACAGCAATTCAATTCCTTTTTCTGCTTTCTTTAAAAGCCTGTCATGCCACACTTAATTACATCGCCGCTGTATCTGAGCGAGAGGGCTACAAGGATGTGTAATGTCATGGTTATAAGTCGAAATGGCACATTTCATTACGACACCAATTTGTAATTTGCTTTGGGATATGATTTCATGGATCTCTGTTTTAAATTGAATCATTCTTTCATTTGAAAGAGGCAGAGAAGAAATGAAAAAAATAAAAAAGATCATCCATTTGCTCAAGAACATAAAGTCAGAATGGGAATTTGTGCGATTTTAATCCCCCCGCTCCTCCATCAGTCTGTCAAGCGGGGCGGACAGGAAGATGTGTGTGTGTTTAAGAAGTGTGTGTCAGACTTTTTTGTTGACTGTACCAAAGGGGGTCATGCAGCGACCTATTCTGGTTTTGGTGTTGTCAGGGGGTCTCAGGACATGACTGAATCAACACAACAGTAGGTTTATCAGGCCCCCAGCCGACAACACAGCAGGGAAAAATTGGATTTCCTCCGATGGTTATCAGATGTACAGTAAAAGCTTACAGGTCTGTGTTGACTGAGGCTTAAACCCCCTGTTCTAATAGCACAGATAACAACCCTGCAGCCTCTTGTCTGGCCGGAGGAGACTACTGCTGGCATGGATACAGAACGGACCCCAAGACCCCGGAGTCATTTATCTCGGTGCCGAGCAGCGGAACGCAGTTACACAGTCAACTACAGTACACCTGATCAAATATTAGAAAGAAGTCATGTGTATTGGACATATCACCATGGGTTGCAAATGTGTTGTGACTGTTTTGCCTCCTGCATATTAAAACCCATACATACAGTTTTCTGATTTCTGTTCAGTAGACCCATGTCGTGCATTTGGAAGCAAATATCTTAAGAATATATGACATTGTTGGGGTGTTTTTAAGTTGAATCTTCAGATGTGTTATCTCCGGAGCACTGTAGATGAATTAAAGGGGCACTTATATGCTTTTCTGGTTCATGTGTGGGACTTTGCTGACTGTTTACATGCACAGACACCTACAAACTACAGGAAAGGGAAAACCCCCAAAAACACAAGGCTTGGGCATTCTTTATGAAAATTACAACAATAGCCAATTGCTGGTGGATCAGTTGGTTATAAAAGGTTACATTTCAGAAAGGATGGTTTGAGTTGCTAGATTGTGGAAAGTATTAAGCTGATTTAGCTCAAGTCATAGCTATTATAACAACGCAAAGTAAGGGCGAAATCATAAATGGCTTGCCTAACAGTGGGACGTAAAAATAAAAAGCCTGCGTTGGAGTTACGAGTGTGTGACTTTCCCTTACTTCCTTTTATGTCTACCCACTAGCAGACTTTTTTTTCTTCCCTCAGCTCCACAATAACCGTGCTTTATGATGGAGCAAGATTCTGAAAAGCTCTAAATTGAAGCATCCCAGTTGACTTTCAAACAAACTGCCCTTACCCTCCCTTCTGCATTTCCCATTGTGGATCTTCTTGACCTTGATGCCTTTCCGCCTGCCGGTTGCTTCCATGGCGCACTTGCTGGGGTATGTATGTCCGTCACTGGCACACAGAGGCTCGCCCCCCGGGGGGCACGACTCCGGCAGGGGAGAGAAGATGGACTGGCGGGTGATGCTCTCCACCCGGCACTGCGTGGTCAGACTGTTCTCATTGTCTTTACATGGGTCTGTGGAGAGAAACACCTTCATGAAGCCAGGAACGTCAAACACTTTTATCATGGATTACATTTCAAAATCTATTCTTGTTAATTAGACCCTGTGGGATTGAAAAAGAGAGCTTTAATCAAAGAACATATCAGTCAATCTTTGTTCCTCTGTAAAAACAGTAAAGCAATTACTTGGCATGGGAAAAAAAAACATTAGAATATATCAGGATGTGGTCAGGTCCTTTTTTTAAATGCCAGTAAACAACAAAACGTTTGGAAGCATTAACTTTTGTTTGCCTAGTAAATTGAAAAAAGAAGAGACGAGAAAAGACAAATAAAGGGAAGAGCAGACATGACCCTCCATCACTGTGGCTCCACAGATACTATCAGGGGCCCAGCAGCTGATAGGACCTTGGATGTAAAGTTGAGACAAGGAAATGGATGAAGAGACGGTGCTTCGATTTGCTCCCTGGCACCTACAGGGGACTGTCGGCTTGGCACGTTGGCCGTATCAACCATGATCATAATGGAATTGGTTTGTGGATGTGCGGGACGGGGGGGAGTGACTTCATGTTATAGGAGCTTTATCCTGCCCGCCACGCATTTCAGCATGTAGGAAGACAAAGGATTTATGTAGCACCGTGACTTATCGAATCGCTGCCAAGCTGCCGGCAACTTATTCAAAACGCACCGAGGATGAAACACCCTATCGTCGGGAAAGGCAAACACAAAGAGAGAATAAGGGGGAATGGTTTCCAAAGACCTCTGGCAGGGATGCAAGGAGCAACAATGCGGAGACACAAAAAGGGAGTTTGGCGGCGGCGGGGCTCGGAGGCCGGAGTGACCGCTCGGCTCTGGCCAGGCCTGGGATTGTCTTCTATCAGCACAATGCAAAGGCTTGCAGGAACTAGTAACCAAGCAAACAGGTTTTTTTTTAATTTATCGTAATGCATGCAGCGTCTCGGCATGATGCAGTGCCTCATCCGCCAGCCAGGCTATTATCTGAGGGAAAGACCATTACCTCCCATAAAGTGAGAAGAACAGCTTCCAGGATCCATGCTTTCGTCTAGCTGAGCAAGTAGGGTAATTACAAAAAGAATGGCCTGTTTGCTGCAAAGACTAGCCGTGCGTATAAATCAAACGCCTTTGTCCAGCTCGGGCTAGCGACTTGAAATAGCAGAGGCTTTAGATGAAATGGCTGCAAGGAAATTTAGAGGACCATAAGGGCCGATTTGTCCCCCGAGCCCTGGCCTTCCCCAGGGAGGTTGGGCCAACTCAGGTCACTTTGGCCGACTCCGGCTGGATTTATACGAGCAACCTTAGGCTGGCGGACCTGCACATCCATCTCTCTTTCCCAGCATGCAGCTCTGTCTCCCGGAGGCTCAGGCTGCTGAGAGACAGAGCTGCTGTCTGCTTCTCTTTCCCTCCATCTGGCTTCAAACAAACAAACAAAACCTCAAAGTTGAGCGCCTCGGGAGTAAACAACTATCGCCTGATGATAACAAGGATGAGCAAAAAAAAGAAAGAAATCCGGGTTCCGACGATAACGACAGCGGCGAAGACTTACTTAGAGAAAACAACAATTTGCACCGCAGGAGTACCTGTGTGAAGCAAAGCAACATGAATGAAAAATGAGAATTAGCAAAGGCGTGCCGTAAGTAAGGGGGGTTTGTGGAGGAGAAACAAGACAAAAAGCCAGAGGTAGTAAACAGAGAAGAAAAGGAGAAGAGAATCTTGGAGAAAGAAAAGTAGTGATTCCTGTCATTTATCAAGAAAAAGTGCCCTAAAAAATGAGCATCCAGCAGCTCAATGTGAGGGATTTCTGCTTTTCACTTGTTTGTTATCATTATCTCTGCAAGGTGTAATCCTGTAGGGAGATCATGGTGATTGTGTGTGTGTGTGTGTGTGTGTGTGTGTGTGTGTGTGTGTGTGTGTGTGTGTGTGTGAGATCATGGTGATTGTGTGTGTGTGTGTGTGTGTGTGTGTGTGTGTGTGTGTGTGTGTGTGTGTGTGTGTGTGTGTGTGTGTGTGTGTGTGTGTGTGTGTGTGTGTGTGTGTGTGCGCGTATCTGTCTTTCCACAGCTAATCTCAAATAATATTGATCCTTACAGTATTATTCGCTCTTTTTGTTTTTACTGATTGATGATTGTATGCTCAAGGACCTCTCATTGTTGTTGTGATTCACACTTTTTGTAAACAACATTTGTATTGATTTTAAACCGTCACTGACTCCCCCCCGACTGCTTCAATAGGAAAAGGTATCTCCTAAATGGCTAGGTCTTTTTCGTAACTCAAAAACTGACATTGAAAGAAAAAAGGTCAGTCTAAGTTTAACAATAGACAATAAATATGATTTCCTTACCCTATAAGTCATGATCCCCTTGAGATGGCATGAGATGGTACACATTTGGTCATCTTGATGGGACAATTTAGTGAGGTTCAACTGTTTTGGTCTTTGATTAGTGCTTTTTCTAGTTGTAATTTTTGTAAATCATAACGATAAAAAGTTGGTACCTTGGGCTTTGACAAACTCTAATGGCCTCTTGTTTCCTTTTGCTGGACCCCCAATAGACTAAATGAATGTATCAGTAAAATAAAGAGACCACTCACCGCAGTTCCCTTGGTATTGCACTCTGATGTTCTTCTGGTTCTTGCAGGCATGCTGATGGAGCTCACACTCGTTGCGATAGTCCTTCCCGTCGCTGCCGCACACGGTCTGTTCGCGCTTGCCCTCGCAGCCGAGGGGACACATGCATTTAGCTGACACGCCGTCCGAGGACTCGGCGCAGGTGCTGCCGTAGCTGCAGGTCACCTCAGAGCAGGGGTCCGTCAGAGCTGCAGGCGGAGACACAGACATGAAAACAAGGTTTAGAAAAAGCAAAGGAGGGGAGAATACAGCTGTCAAGCGGCTGAACTCCGGGACACCCTCTGTAACTGTACACTGGAGTGCACCATGGATGACAGGCCACCTTGTTTAAGTGGCTGCTGGAAGCTCAGAGCAGTTATTCTGGGTTTTGAAGAAGTGCTCGACACCCCTGGGTAAGGACGAACTGCCACAGCCGTGTACTGCTACAAACACGGTTGGTTTCCAATTGATTCAGGAGCTTTGCATTCACAACACATTCTCTATTGCTATGCTCGAGCATGCTTTAATCGACACGGCTGAAAAGCAACCCTCTGAATATTTTCCTTTCCACAAATGAGACTCAGAGAGAGCGGTATTCCCCCCCGGAGGACTTTGTTTCCACTCTAATTAAACAGCGTGCCACTTGTCGCTGAGTGACTCACTCCAACGATAGGACAGGGTGCAACTTTTTAATTCCGCCCGTATTCAAGCTTTTCCTCTGGATTCATATGCTTGACAAAAGGTGGCCATCAGATTACTATCGCTGTCATCTCGCTGCGTGATACATATTTATGACTGTCAGGGACAAACACGCTCTCCCGTGAGAGCGCCGGCAGCCCTCTCATTTCCTAAGCCTGCCACTTTTAGAATAAACATTTACCCATGTCTGATATTATCCCCTCTTTTGTTACAACCAACATGAAGGATTTAATTTAAAGGAAGGTGGGTATATTGAATCGCATATATTGTGCATTTTGTTTCAGGACTAGAATATGCACAGCGGATATATTATGGATGTGTAAGGAGACAGTAGTGCTACGAGGAGTGCTCTTGATCAAAGGATTCCCCCCCACCTTGCTTTCTTCATCTTCAGGACACATTTTTTTTTTCTACCCCCATTTCTTTTTCCGCCCCGCTCCTGTCAAGTCCTTTTGAGGTTCGGTAACGAACACTTTTTCATTTTATATGTGTACTGTATTGCAGCAGGGACTGGCTCTAGGCATAATTTATGACAAAGACGGCTCAGAAGTAACTTCAAAATAAAGTACTAAATTATAGCTCTAGACTAGGGGAGACTCATGGGAAATGACTTAGTGAAATCATAAGTCATTGTGAGCCATCTGTGGTGCTTTTAGAGGCAGACAATGATGACTAGATAGCGATTGGGTCTAATCATGTGAACAATGACACACTGATGGCGCCGCGGAAATGACCTTGTTGCCAGAACAGGTAAAAAGTCCTGTTAAATCACACACGCTACAATCACTACACAATGCCCACTTATAAAATAGCACGTGTTCTCTAGCGTATAGCAGAAATAACCTTCAGCCATTTTGTTTTGATGCACCTGCTGTTGAAGATGGTTTGAGTAGGCATGTGTCCTGCCAAGTAGAAGCACCTTGTCTGGGCGCTTCTGTAAATTGGTGGTTGTTAAGGCGGCAGTCACACCTCCCGAGAAAAAGAGAAGGAAGAGGAGGAAAGAAGCCCGGAGATCACCTGTTTACTTTGTGACAGGAAACCTCCTCGCACTTCTTGATCTCATTAAATAATAGCCCAGGCTTGCTCTTCCTCTCTACCCCAGCCTCCCTTACCAGCCTGTTGACAGCGAATAAGGGTGGGGGCGACAGTAAGGAGCACAAGAGCAACGTAGAATAGGAAGCGGAGGTAGGGGCTCCTGATTTGAATGCTAACAGGGGCCCATTTGGATACGAAGCGCGGCCTCAATGGGGTGTTAGTGCAGATAAGCCTCCCTTCTCAGACTCAGACAAGAAGGCAAATTGCCTGAGCGAATGTGATCTGTGTAACAAACCCATATGACTGAAAAAAGAAAAAAAGAGAAGAAGAAACACGCTTGCTGAAGTAAACATCACAGAGTTCTCGCTTATATTTTCTCATTATTATCATGTGAAAGGTGGCAAAACAAAAAAAAGAGTTGAGAAGTCGGCAGAGCCGGATTCGCTAAATTAGAATGATCCTCGGTGCCAATTAGATCAGTCTCCTCTCGCTGGAGGAAAGCTCAGCGAGAGTTTAGATGGCAAGGATAATAAGAAATTAAAAAGCAGATAAGGATACAGATAGACTGGGCGATAAAGACACAAAGTGACACTGAAGATGGCGTTCCAGCACAAACAGAGATGACATCACTAGCCTATGAGTAGAGAGGAGCCCGAAGAAAGGCCAACTTTCTGGGGGCTAATATAGGGCTGTAGGAAGGAGTTGGCATTTGACCACTTAGTGTACGTCCTCTTAATTTAAACTCAACAGTATTTTTAGACGTTTTTTGCTTCGATGCCTCAACAAGTACCTGTGCCATCATTAGCAGAACATTATGAGAGATTTTCACAATTTGTTGTACAACATAAAATACGTAGATAAATACCCCACTGTGAACATTCAAAGGCAAATATTAACCACCTTTAGCTTAGCGGTGAAGAGTCACGCAACTATTGACTAGGTTATTTTAGCATTGCGTTTGCTTTTACTTTCTGGCAATTGCATTTACTGTACGCTTCAAAAATCATTAAAGTGGTGTAAATATTTTTTACCAGTCTCAACTAATATTATAAACATCTATTTGCTAAATATCTTTCTACAAAATTACAAAAAAACATTGTGTTTTTTTAGGGAGCCCTTGCTATGCTAACTTCTGGCTTCCAGCTACACAAATACGTCATTACTGCAATGCTCTATTCAACACTATCACTTGATTTATCCACATGAATTTCCCCACAGCTTATTTTCCAAAGCACCTTGGACGTATTCCTGCTAGTTAATCAAAGTCAGACCTGGATTTGATTGGCTCTCTAACTGAACAATGGCTCCAAGTTTTTCTAATCACAGGCATGCATCATTTGGATGGACACACCTCCAGGAATATCTACACTCAGCAGGTTTGCTCTGTTTGAATCAGAGTGCCGGCGCTGCCTGCCATTTGGAGAAGCATTGTCTTCCTGCTAATTGTGAATTCAGGTGCCGTAGCCAATCCTTGATACACACCTTCACCTCCACTCAATCCGAGCTGCAGATATGACTTCAAGAGAAATGTTGAAACAAATCTGTTTAATGCCAGCAACTCTGAGTCTGTCCTCCAGCATGCATACAAATGCAATATTTGTCTTTAAGTTGTGCAAACCTTTGCAGTAATACTACATGTATTTGCACGTTAGAGAAAATAAAATAACATGCGCTCAGCAGCTTGGAGTGCAGAGCTGCTGAAGCATTAGTGGTAGTACTGAATAATACTGGGTATTCCAGCCATTATGGTTTCATCATTAATATGTTAATATTAATACAAAAACACAACTGTATATTTTAACACATTTGTTGTTGTTATATATTATAGTACAGTACAATCTGCACGTTTTTACCTTTACATCTTTTGTTTCTTATGTATCGATTATTATGTTTCTTTTTATTGCACATTTTACTTGAATTTGTTAGGTTCTTAGAAAAATGTAGGTTCTTAGAAAAATGTGTATTTTTAATGCACAATATTTACTTTAACTTCTTATGTTTGTAAAAATATATTTATTCTTTTATTTATTTGAAATCTCATTTTATTCCTGAATGAAGCAACTTTCACAAAAACGAATTTCCCCTGGGAAATGTAATGTTCTGATTCATGTGATTGATTCTGCTTATGTATAATCTAATTATTCAAGGTCTCATTTTATTGAGTATAACGTTGACACCGTGCAAACTAAGAAGTACAGAACTTTCAGAAGAATAATCTGGAGAGCAGGTGATGTCTCCCTGAAAATTGGGGCAGAGGGGTTTTTGGAAAGAGGGGGGATTACAGTGATCCTTTCCCCTTTCATCTCTCCCCCTGGCAGCCAGCAGACATCCAGGCAGGTTGGGGGGGGGTTCAGCTTCCCTCTGATCCACTGTTTTGCGCTGCCCTTTATTAATGCTTCATTAGGGACAGGTAACTGTCAGCGCCATGCTGGCTTTACCTGATGCCCTCCCACCACGATAACTGCAGCAGCCGGTGTGTGTGTGTGTGTGTGTGTGTGTGTGTGTGTGTGTGTGTGTGTGTGTGTGTGTGTGTGTGTGTGTGTGAGAGCATTCACTTACTCCGCTGAACATTTGCAGGCAGCCATGGAGTTCAGATAAGTCTGGCAAGTGAGTTTGTGATATATATGCGTAGGTATCTGTGTGTGTGTGTGTGTGTGTGTGTGTGTGTGTGTGTGTGTGTGTGTGTGTGTGTGTGTGTGTGTGTGTGTGTGTGTGTGTGTGTGTGTGTGTGTGTGTGTGGGGGGGGGCGCCTCCCGTTGTGCTGCTAGTGATAAGGGAGGGAGCAGGGGGTTGGAGCTAATCAAATGCAATGATGCGATGTGGGGGGACTTGGCAGTGTGTGTTCTAATCAAGAACCCACCCCCCAACCCCATCACCAGCAGGAGAAGAGGAGTAAACACTAAAGGGAACAGCAGACGAAGAAGACAGACAGGGAGTAAACACTAAAGGGAACAGAAGAAGAAGAAGAAGAAGAAGAAGAAGAAGAAGAAGAAGAAGAAGAAGAAGAAGAAGAAGAAGAAGAAGAAGAAAACGCAAGATATGAACAGTAAACCAATATTATTTGCTTAATGGTTGAGAGAGGCATTTGGACCATACATTGTATTTAAAAAGGGGACGTAGTGATGTTAGCCTTTGCAGACTACTTTCATGCACAAAGAACCTATATAACACACTACAGGAAAAGGAAACAAAAAAACCAAAAAGCAGAATAGGGCCTCTAACATTTAGTGTCTATCCAACCTAGCTGAAACATGAAAGCTTTTCTAACTTGCTGTTAATGCTTTGTTTACAACCTACAGTAATGCACTGTGTTAACTTGAAATCCTTTTGTTTACAAGTGTATGTAAGCTGCGCACAAATCTTAATGGATGCAGTTTATAGTAGCCTCAAGAGTGTAAAGTAAAAAGAAATAGCACTATTTATTTTATTTTGTGTTAAATAATTCACTGGCATTCAACGGCATTTATGCCATCTAAATCTAAAATACTTGATTGACA